CCCAGTATCTAGCACACCCTAGCTGCTCAATAAAGATGTATTTGGCATTTTTTCTTTTTAAGGTTTATTTGTTTTTATTTTCTGTGCACCATGTGCAAGCAGCACCCAAGGAGGCCAGAAGAGGACGTTTGTTCCCCTGGAACTGGAGATTAAGGATGGTTGTGAGCCACCATGTGGAAGCTAGGACACCAGATCTCATTACAGATGGTTGTGAGTCACCATGTGTTTGCTGGGAATTGAACTGAGACCTCTGGAAGGACGGCCAGTGCTCTTAACCTCTGAGCCATCTCTCCAGCCCCCATGAGCAATTATCTTAAATCATACTAATCTGCTTCTCCAAAACAACCATTTCCTTCTAGCCTTGGGAAGTAGAAAGCGAATGAATTGCCTGTCTTTCATCTTTGCAGGTCATCCATAAGGCCCAGCGATATAACTCAGTTATAGAGCATTTCCTGGCCTAAGCAAGACCCTGGGTTTTGTTAGAAATCTAAGTTCAAGGTCCTAACATAAGAGATCACCACTCAGTTGAAATGCCATGGCAAAATTTGATCTAGACTCTAAAGTCTAGACCAGTATGAAAAATTTCTACACCTTGATAAGCTTATCTACCAAGGCAGCAAAACAAATCAGACCAAATCAAACCAAATTAGAAAAAGCCCACATTTAATGGATACAGTGCTCCTGGATGGTCTTCCAGTCCCCCAGAGAGGAAACAGGAAAGGGAAACAGGAAAAACCATGAGTCTGTTCTCTGGGGGACAGTTTAAATACCCTGTGGGAGTGGTCTTGAGTATCTCTAGGGGAAGGGTCATCATTTGGTGGGCTTTCTGAGATGCAGCAGGGTTTGGAGGGAGATGGGGGAGGGGACCTTGGATGGAACCTTCACCATAACACAGATCTCAGCCTTCCTTAGTACCATTATGTTGGGATCCCCAACCATAAAGTTGTTTTTGTTGCTACTTCATAACTAATTTTGCTACTGTTATTATGAATATACTATAAATATCTGTTTTCTCATGGTTTTAGGTGACCCCTGTAAAAGGGTCATTTGACCCCCCAGGTTGAGAACCGCTGCTCTAGATTCTAAGGTGTGTTGCTCACATATGAGCAAGCATGGGGGTGGGGAGGCAGTAAGTGTGTTGTGTTTTAATTCTACGCAGGTGGTTAACTGCATCTTTTCCTCATTGGCTGGTGTCTGACCTCACATTCTTTCTCTATCGGCTAGCCTCAAAAGGAACTGAAGAACTGAGCATGGTGATACAAACCTTTAATCCTAGTTGAAGTCAGCTTAGTCTACAGTGTGACTTCCAGAACAGCCAGGGCTAAACAGAGAAACCCACTCCCTCCCCCAAAAAAAAAAATCAAAACAAAAGGAAACATGAAGGAAGGCAAAGGAAATAAAGGAGAGATAACAAGATTTGAGCTGGGTGGTGATAGCACTCACCTTTAATCCCAGCATTCAGGAGGCAGAGACAGGCAGATCTCTGTTGAGTTCACCAGCATGGTCTACAGAGCAAGTTCCAGGACAGGCTCCAAAACTGCACAGAAATCCTGTCTCAAAAAAAAAAAAAAAAAAAAAACAAAAAAACAAAAAAGGAGAAAGAAAAAAGACAAGTTTTGTAGTGTGATAAAAAGATTCTTAAGTTTTCTTACAATTTTATGCTCAGTCCCAATATCACACACACAAACACATACCCCAACATTACACACACACAATAAGCAAACATATCCACCATCATACACATGCAATAAACACATATACACATTATACATGTACACCACACACATATCACACATACACACACCACATACAATACACCACACAAACACACACACATCACTTACACATACATATACATCATTTATATACCCACATACCCTGAATACAGGCTTATATCCTGCATTTAACATCAGTATCTCTGAGCTTTGATAGATAGCTCAAAAGCTGAGCCAAGAAGACCAGGTCTGTTTGAGAATAAGCTCCCCTCTCTTCCCCCATACTATGTCTCTGGGTAGCAACGGAAGAACTCTGCACAAATGGGTGCCTTAGAAAAGCTCATCTTCAAAAAAAAGAAAAAAAAAGAAAAAAAAAGAAAAGAAAAGAAAAGCTCATCTTCGTGGCGCATGGTGAAGCCTAAGGAGCACCACTACCTATGCTTACTTAGTGTTGGCTATAACTACTAATGATTGTTTTGGAAGTGAAGACAATAACTGAGCCAAATTCCAAGTATTCATTCATGCCATTGCCTTTGTTTCCAAATACTAACAAAACAATCTGTCTAAAGTATGGAAAATCATCCTGAAAAGGTATATTTCCTATGGTGCTCCACAGGAAGATATCTTTGGATTCAGAAGGGTGTAGGCATATTTGCTTGTGCCTTTAGAGACCAAGTCTTCTTTTGGTCCCATCTCACATTTAAAGCCCAACTGAGATGAAAGAGGTGCCCATTGCTAAAACCCCAGAGTCTGGAGAGTGAAGAGTAGCAACTCTGCCAGGGCAATCCCCCCCCCCAAGGGCAATCCCCCCAGGAGAAGTCCCCCTCCCCTAGGGGAAGTGTTACAGTCCTGTTCCATTCTGCTCTGCCCAAGGTTGTCTCTGCCCCACCACAAAAGATCTTCACTCAAACCTCATTCAAGAGATTTATTGGGAGGGAAGAATCCAGGAGTGGCTGCCTCTGCCAGTGTGGAAGGAGGCAGCTGGACAGCCACAAGTTGAACAGACAAGGGTTTATATAGGGCTTTCCCAGGGAGATTCCCAGGGTGGGGATTGGTCAGATCTCAATCCTTGAGCCCAGAGTGGCTAGATCTGGTGCGCAGGAATTGGTTAGTTTTCTGCACTAGGTTCAGATTTGGCTCTAGTTTCAGGCAAAAGTGTGTTTCTTTTACTGGTCCTTTTTGGCCTTTTGGCTCTAATTTTAGGACCAGGGTGTATTTCTTTCACTGTCTCTAATTCCAGGGACAAAGTGTGTTTCTTTGGCACTGGTTTCAGGGTCAGGGTGCATTTCTTTGGTTCTGGCCGCAGGGCCAACGTGTGTTTCTTTGGCTCTGCTCAGGGTGTTTCTTCAACTGGCCCTCTTTCCCGACATTTTTCATAAATCTCAAATCCCAAATTCTCATTCCCACACTCGGTGCTACCTGAGACCAGTCCCTGCTTGGAATAATCCTCTGCACACTGTGATTATGTATCACTCTCATTGGTTAATAAAGAAGCTGATTGGCCTATAGCAAGGCAGGATAAAGTTAGGCGGGACAATAAAACTGAGGATATAAGATTAAGAAAAGGCAGAGTTAGATGAGTCACCAGCCAGCCAGAGAACGAGTTGGACATATAAAATGGGTTAGAAGTAAAAGCCATGGGCCTTGGGGCAGCACACAGATGAATAGAAATGGGTTAAGTTGTAAGGGCTAATTAGAAACAAGCCTGAGCTATTGGCCAAACATTTATAATTTACATTAAGCCTTGAGGCTTATTTGGGAAGCAGCTACCAGGCATTTGGGAACAGACTATCAGGACAGGAAAAGTCTGCCTACAAGCCCCCTCTTTAGAAGACTTCGTTCCATCCCTGTTCTACTTTTCTCCCTCCTCACAGGCAATCTGTCCACAGACCAAGTAGGTCAGCTCATCCAGAGAGTGGTTCCTTTGAGTCCTCCCTGAAGTAACATGGTTCGGTGGAGACAACTTGCTCGGGTGGAGACACTTTAATCGGGTGTGTGTGCTAGGAGGAAGAGGGTCTCTCTCTCTCTCTCTCTCTCTCTCTCTCTCTCTCTCTCTCTCTCTCTCTCACACACACACACACACACACACACACACACACACAACTTTGTGGTACAGATTGAATCTTGAGGTGGAAATGATGCAGGCTATGGGCCAGTTGGTGAAGCCTGAGAATTCTACCTTTGAAGCTGTTGTTACAGCTCATTGGTAGTGTTTGTCTAGCATGCATGAAATCTTGGATTTGAGCCCCAGAACTGCATAAAAACCAATGCAGTGCACCCCTCATAATGTCAGCACTGGGTATATGGAGCCAGGAGAATGAGAAGTTCAAGGTCATCCTCTGCTACATAGCAAGTTCAAAGGTTAACCTGGGTTATATGAATTCCTCCCTCACCCTACCCCCTAAAAGATTGGGGATATAGCTCAATGGCAGAACACCCGTCATGCATGCCTTTACTCAGGAGCTCAACCCTCACCATCACATACTCAAGGTTCATCAGTCTTACCATCTCCCTCCAACACTCAAGGGCCAGCACGGAGGAGGAGCAGAAAGGATGTAAAAGCTGGAGAAGAGGAGAGTTGGGGAATGGTGTCTCCTGCAGAAGGGGAGGGTTGGGGAAAGATGTCTCCTGGAGAAGGGGAGAGTTGGCGAATGGTGTCTCCTGGAGAAGAGGGGTGTTGTGGAATGGTGTCTCCTGAGCACGGCATAGCTGTTGCATTCTTGAACTCACAGCAGTTGTACAATAAGTATGAGGATGATACTCTGTGACTACTAGACTACCCAAACAATGGACACCAAGAAATTATAATTCTCCAGGAATCTCATACTAGGAAAGGAAAAGGCCTAAATAAAGCCTGGACCAGCCAGAGGGATCCCATCACACACACTTAACAGACTACCCTGCAAGGGAGTGGAACCCAGACAATGATGGGTCAGTAACTGGTGACACCACACCTTGACCAGGACTGCTGTTATACATATTTCTTGCTTTTTACTTTTAATTTTTAACTTATTATTGTGTGTGTGTGTGAAGCACCGAGTGTGGAGACCAGAGGAACCCTTGTGAAGTAGGGCATCTGTCTGCACCTCTGTGTGGGTCCCAGGGATCAGACTCAGCCCACCAGGGCTTACAGATCAGACCCTTTTACTTAAGCCATCTCCTCTGCCTGGAGCCAAATCCCACTACCAACCGGAAACTACAAGTTTGTATCTGCTCTGGCAACAAACTCAAACTAGCCCAACCTATATTGCTTGAGAGAATATAAATTATAACAATAGGAGCAGCTTTACTTTTTAAAACTTTATTGATTTTCCACCTGATCAAAGCATGGGGGTATTTAACAGTATTATACATAATATTTTTACATAGAAAACTTTACATAGCATTTCATATTATATAATTCTGCTTTATTCTTTCAAAAATGTTTACATCCATTGGGCAAGGAATGCTTTCCATTAAATTATCAATATTAAATGCACTTAATCATTGTGTATGGATGAAATCAAAGTCATTAGTAACTAACTTTTGGGCATTTTAAAGAGGAAAACATACATTTTTTTTGCACATAAAGAAATGTTTGATGCAAATATGCAAGATAAAATTTTTCTAAAAAATGAGAACACTGAGAAAAACCACACATTTGATGAGTGCCACTTTCTGAGAGCAAGGGTTTTCAGGTGGATTCCTTCTTTAAGACCCTCAGCTTTGGTTATTTTGCTTCTCAAACCATAAAGCTGCTGGTAGTACAACTCTAGGTCCAATGTGAGCTTCAGCTTACCTTACCACAAATAATGAGACAGAGTTCGGAAGGATCCAGTGCCTATTGCAACCGGTATCCACTAGCGCTGTAAGCAACAAACACCTGAGTAGGGCGGCCACACCTGCATGTGTCAGCACCTTCTTTTAATAACTAGAAAGACAACTAAATATACAGCCATAATCACAAAAGAATTAGTTGTTTTTTTTTTAAGGGTGGTGTCTTTATAGATTTTCTGAATTTTGTACAAAAGTCACCTACTGGAGGAAAGTGCTTTCAGACATTACTACACAATTTTTCTGATGTCTGGTTTAGTTGTACAGGATGAGAGAAGGTGTGTTTGGCTCTGAAGGTGCACATTTGATATACATCCCCACTCTCTGTCTGTTGCTCAGATGCCAAAGCTGGTGATTTATTTTCTTAACAGACAACAACAGAATTGCTTGGAACAGCAGCTTGGGGACAGCAGCTTCTTTAGAGACCCCAGCACATAAACCGACACTTAAAGCATTGTGATAAAGAAATAAGGCCTTGGAAGATGCTCTACCCTCCCTCCTCCATGCTGCAGCCAGGCAGCATCTGCCTGTGAGGACACACAGCTGTTCTTTCTCTGCACTGGTGTCCGGTGGGCTCAAGCTACATTTGCCATGAGAAAGAATAGACTTGTTCACCACGAAGAATTTATACTGAATGGCTTGTTTCTGGAGGTCAGGGACACCACTGCCACTGACAAGAAAAATTACCCTGAATGGTTTTACATTGTTTTTTAAAAGATCTATTGCTGTACAATTCAAATGCATCATTCAGAAAAATCAATCTTTTTACATAACAAAATTATAAAGACATTCAAGCCTGAATATCTAAGCAAGTAAGAAAACACACCGACACACTCCCTGCCCTATAAGGGGCAAAAGTTACAGAGGAGGCAGGGAACACTGGGGGAAAAGGGCTAGTGTAAATGGGTGAAATGTCATATGACAGGGGAGGGAAAGTCACCAGCAAGGGACACGGCTTAGGCAAGATGCACCGACTGAACATGCACGCATGTTCCCTGGCTACATGGGTGATACAAATGCTGCAGGGACCACTGATAACTGAGGTCATGCTGAGTGGCAACACCAGGGAGAACATCTCAGGCACAGGTCTGTGGTGCAGCAAAAAAAATGTAACAGACTCCAAGACACGCCAGTTCACCGTGTTCACACTCTCCCCTTCACTAACATTCTCCCACAGTCCCGTCCTTTGAGGTGCACAGCCCTCTCAGCTGATGTGTTCTAGTGATAATCCCAACCTGCTTTTTTTTTTCTTTGGTAGAGAAATTAAATACCTTTTGGGAAATAAAAGCATAAATACAAGTTCTGCTGGCCAAACTGAGCATATGGCAAGGCTGTCAAAAAAAAAAAAAAAAAAAAAAAAAAAAAAATAGCAAAAGCACTAGGACTCCCCTCTCTAGAAAGGAAAAAGGGTCCAATTCCACAGACGCACTCCCAAGGGATGACTAACTTCTAAGGCACCAGAGTTGACACGATACAACCCCAATTTGTAGGACTTGATGCAGGCAGAAGTCTGAATGTTCCCATGGCATTTCATGACATGGCTCAGCACGCAGTGCTGCTCCAGGTGAACAGTGCAGGAGGGCAGACTAGGAATTGTGTGTTCTTTCTCATGGGCTCCAAATCCATTAGCCTTCCTCTAGCTTGGCTGCTGTGGGTGTTGGGAGCACTCAGAAGTCAGTCTACTGTGGTTGTGGGTGTGGCACCCTTACCAACATAAGGATCCTAGAATCTAATCCTGCCAGACTCCATCTCCTGGCTCTAGTTAACAAAAGCTGTAGGTGCCACCCCTGGCCGTTCTCACAGTCCAGCTGTGCTGGCCCCACAGTAGCTCTAGTTCCACTCATGATGTGGCTGAGGGGGCACCAGAGTGACCCTTATTACACTAAGTTACTGTCCCTGCCTCTGGTGTCACTTCAACAGGGATGGCAAAGCAGCCACACTAACCACCAGGCACTCTGCTGAGGGAAAAACTAAAGAGATTTACTCAAAGAGAAACAAACTCTGGGTCAGTTATTTTGTTTTCATTAATATTTCATGTGAGAGATTTCAGAGATGTGCAATGCATTCTGGAAAATGTAATGGAACCCCCACCCACAAACACTTCAAGGAAGGTTAACCCTTTGTTAAGTTATTTTTCCTACAGACTGTCTCCCACGTTACTAAAACGGAGTCATGAGGCACTACATCGCCTTCAAACCTTGCAAGCGCTTTAAGTTTTCTAAACTCTGCCTTTCATCAAACCTTCAATAATATAACTTTGTGGAATACTTTACAAGTCACTTAGACAATAACAAAACATAAGAAATAACCCTCTTTTCCTACCTTTCTAATCTAACTAGGCTGACCCAAAACTGGCATAAACATTCAAACTTCTCTAGTACATTCAAACAACAAAACACCCAGCGTACTTAGGTGGCAGTTAGCCGTTACAAGGAATTTTATTAACATACTCTCTAATAAACACGAATCTATACAGCGAAGTTCAGTACTTCCAAGGAGAATGACTTCTTCTGACAACACATTTATCGCCAGTCTTGGAGCCCTGCGAGGAAATGGTGGTTTTCACAACAGCTCTGACAGTTCCGTCAGCAAAATGGAACAACAGATGGAGAACAGACTCCCCACCTCTGTGGTACTGGTATGCGGTGGTTTAATGAGACAGACACCATGAGCCTCCGCTGGGGACTGTGACGAGGCCAGTGTACAGATCACTGCTATCCAGGTCTGAACCCCAACTAGAAGGTTGGCTTCTTGTTTGCCAGTTGGGATGGCATGACGGATACTCTGCAGAACCACAGAGTGACCGTGGGAGCCAGTGCTACCACGTCGATGACAATGCTGCTGGCACTTGTGATGACTCCTCTGGAATCCATATCTTATACACCAGGCCTATCCTCAGGAAGAACTTCCGAAGAACTGCTCGGAGCTCAGGGATCAGGTCGAACTGCATGATTTCACACAAGTAGGGGTAGTACACTGGAGCGTGTGCTTTGAACTTGCAGTGAGGAAAACAGAATGCCAAGTTAGACATGGAACTTTTTTTTTTTTTGCAGTTTTCCATTTATCTCAATTTAAACAGCAATATTCTACAACATTGCTGCTTTTTCTTATTACTAACACTTGTTACAGCTAAAACTTATTTTAGCTGGATGATGTGGTGGAAGGCTAAAATAGGAATATTGCAAGTTCTGGGCCAGTCTGGCTATGTAGCCAGACTCTCTTCATGAAAACAAGACCTGGGTGTGACTTAGTTGGTAGAGTGAGTGCCTAGCATGCATGATGAAGCCTTGGGTTCAATCCCCAGCACCACACAAAGCAAATAAATAAATCGTATCATGCTACAGAAGTAGAGGCAGAAGGATCAGATAATCCTAGGCTAGCCTGGGCTATATGAGGCCAGATCACAACACCTACAACCAACATTCCTCCCCCTCATTTTTATGATATTGAGTTTCTTTGAGATATAATAGCCTTGCTGTCCCCAACAGGCTTCTTTCACTCCATAAAAGGGGGCTCCTAGTCCCCATCACTATTCAGTCTCAAGCCTGACTTCTTGTATTGAGACCATTAGCACTGTCCCCAACAGCCACACACATGGTCACAGGTCATCCTTTCTCAGCCGGGGTTCTTAGGAAAAGCCCTGCTATCTGAAGGTACCCATTTCCTAATGAATTGTCTACAACAGTCACCTCAGGAAAAACACCTAACCTGACCAGAGCCTACCAGAGACATTAGAGTTCACCATACCTTTTCATCGTTTATTTTGAGGGTTTTGGTCAGAAGTAATAGCAGTAGATTCGTCCATGCTTCCCGATGGCTTTCAGAGTTCACAGTAACGAAATAGGCAAGTGCTTCACTGCAAACACTAGAATTAAGAGGCAGGTATGTCTTGACAAGAGTTGGCATTTCACCTCCAGATTTCTTCAGTGCCCTACTGAATCCCTACATTGGCTGTGTCAGCCTGGGCAAACCACCAGGTCCTCATGTCTCTGTCACATGACAGCATGGCTCTGGCAATGGCCAGTGTGATGCTTAGTCAGTCTGTAGCTCACGAAGTACAACAGGACGACTTCTCTGTCCTTAGTTGTCTCTCTCCCTCCTCACCCTGTTAACCAAGTGACTTAAATGTTATACAGCAACCCTGACAAGACAGCCTGTGCTTCAGGGTTGATTTAAGAAATGACCTGACAGCTGGGTGATGATAACACATGTCTTTAATCCCAGCACTCAGGAGGCAGAGGAAGGTGGGGGCTAGTTCCAGGACAGCTAGGGTTGTTACACAGAGAAATCCTGTGTCGAAAAAACAAAAACAAAACAAAACAACAAAAAAAGAAATGACCTGGGTATGGAGAGAGTGGGGCAGGAGTTGAAGACCAGCCTTAGATGGTCCCAAGGAAGGGCGGGGAGAACCATTGTATCTCCTTTAATGACATAACTCTTCTTTCAGTCTAGATTTATTAGTGATGGGGGGTGGCGCACACCTGTAATCCCAACATTTAGGAGGCTGAGGCAGGAGACCCGGAGTTAAAGGTCACCCTTGGCTACATGGTCAGTTTGAGGCAGCCTGGGCTACATGAGACCCTACCTCAAAAAAACAAACAGAAGTCTGTTATAATATTTCCACTGTAAGATAACTGAAAAGGGCATGAAATTATTACAGTAAAAAAAAAAAAAAAGGAGAAAAGAAGCCGGGCAGTAGTGGTGCAGCCTTTAATCCCAGCACTTGGGTGGCAGAGGCAGGAGGATCACTGTGAGTTCAAGACCAGCCTGGTCTACAGAGCTAGTTCCAGGACAGCTCCAAAGCAATAAAGAGAAACTGTCTCAAAAAACAAAAACAAACGAGAGAGAGAGAGAGAGAGAGAGAGAGAGAAAGCAAAGAATTCCATCATCTTAAAGAACACATGACAATAGCTGATTTCTCCCCCTTTCTCTTTTTTGGGTGTGTGTGTGTGTGTGTGTGTGTGTGTGTGTGTGTGTATCCATGTAATGCTAGGAAATGAACTTATGGTGTCATATATGGTAGGCAAGTGATCTACTACTGTACTATGTACTGACCCATCCTCCTTAAATGGCTATCAAAATTTCATTATAGGAATACATCAAAATCATTATGAAATCAATACATTGATAATTGATATACCACTTGAGAGCTAAGAGCCACAGAATAATGTTCCTGTGTGCTGCTACTAGCTGTGTTGGAGACTGTGCCTTCTTCCCACAAGGGGTCAATGCTATGTGCTACTATAAATTTCAGAAGAGTCAGAAGGAGGTTTGGGGGACTTGCGGTGCAGGTTAGTGGTAGAGCATGTACATAGCCTGTACAAAGCCAAATTCAAACCCCATGAGGCTCACCAGCCTTTTGGTGATGCCTAGGTTGTGGGCGGAAACTGGTGGCCTACTGCTTAAACTGGTACACTTCTGTGTGCTGATCTCGATAACCCTATGACCCCGTATCTTCTTGGAAAGAAGGAATGACAGGATGCCAGGACTGACAGCAACTCCTTGGACCTTCTCCCAGGAGGGACAGTAAACTACCCCACCTGGGTGCCAGCGAGAGCCAGATTCCCTCAGTCTCAGCACTCAGAAGTCAGAGAACTTTTTACAGCTCCAGAGAGAGGTTGGAATGCAAAGGAATAGCCCTGCCTACTCTGCTCAGGGTTTTAGGACCTGAAATAGATGAGGCAGCAGAAGGAAGCCAGTCATGAGTATTTCTCTAATACTGGCTGGCCTGAGACTCAAAGAGATTCCCTCGCTTCTTTCTGCCTTTCAAGTCCAGGATAAAAGGGATGTCCCACCACACCTGGCTCTCCTATTTTTTCAATTCACAGAATTATGATGTGAAATTAATGGGTAAACAAACTTACGTTAAAAGTCGCTGCTGTATTTCATCCCAGGAATCCCTGCGGTCCTCATCGACATACATTCTGAACAGGATCCTCAAACAACAGGCCAGGCTGCTGGTTTCTTGTTTGAGAAGATTGGGTTTGGACTTGCCCTTGAAGCCTAGAGGTAAGGCAATCAGGTCAATAGTGCATGTTACCAGCCTGGACAGTACTGAGCTGCCATGGAGGTAGTCCTCTAGTGACACCAAGAAACTGGGAGGCAGATGGTGGCGGTCACAACTCTCCAGGGCGACCTGTGTAGATGCAGTGTTCCTTCCATTTGGCATAGTACAGGCTCATTTCAGACCCAACAGTTCATCTCAGAACCAACAGCTCATCTCAGACCCAACAGTTCATCTCAGACCCAACAGCTCATCTCAGACCCAGCAGCTCATTTCTCAGATCCAACAGCTCTTAAGAATTCTAGTGCTGAGGCTGGCAAGGGGGCCCAGTGGGTGAAGGCACCTACTGTGCAAGCATGTGGAGACCTAAGCCGTCTTCTGACCTCCACAACACACATGCTATGGAATATACGCACGTTTGTGTCACACACACACAATAATTTTAAATTTTAAGAAAGAATTCCCTTTAATCTCAACACTTGGGAGGCAAAGAAAAACAAGAAAGAATGGAAAATGATGGATGTTTTTTGGCTACAAGGCACATATAAGAACACAGTTTTTGAAAGAGTATAAATATATGTTTATACATATATAATAGATAAAATATTAATATAAAATCAATAATTTGATTAATAATTAAAATTTAAAATATTAGTATAGAAAATATTAATATATTAAAAAACCATTCAGCCAGAGATGTGCCAGCTACTCTGGACAAAACCTTCTTACAGGCAATGGGCATGGACAACAGCCATTTAAGATGGGCATGATAGCCCATGCCTTTAATCCTAGCACTACAGGTAGAGGCAGGCGGATCTCTGTGAGTTTGAGGCCAGCCTGGTCTACAAGAGCTAGTTCCAGGACAGCTAGGGTTGTTACACAGAGAAACCCTGTCTCAAAAAACCAAGAAAAAAGAAAAAATGGACTAAACCAAACAAACAAACAAATAGCAAAAACCAAGACAAAAAACCCCACACAAAACAAACCAAACAAAAAAACTCAAGAGTCAGGCATAGTAGCATACACCTGTAATCCCAGTAATCAGGAGGATGAGACAGGGGGACTGCCATGAGTTTCAGACTAGCCTGAGCAAGTTCTAGGTTAGGCAGGGCTGATAACAAAAACAATTTTTGTTTCAACAAAACAAGGCATGTGGGGAGAAGGTTAAGCGATGTTAAAGTGACAAAAAGTCTGTTGTGTGTTTCTGCAAACTTCATAATTATAAGACTCTACACTCTCTACCCTTGGAGAAACAGGTAAATATCACATACAAATATAAAATGTAAGCATCGCAGAGGTTGTAGAGATGGCTCAGTGGTCAAAGTACTGACTGCTCTTCCAGGTTACTCAGCTTCAGTACCCAGCACCCACACGGAGCCTCACAGCTGTCTGGAACTCCATTCTAAGGGGATGCAGTGCCCTCTTCCTACCTCCCTGGACACCAGGCACATGATATACCAAAATACATGCAGACAAAACACTCATACACATAAGAACCAACAACAAAAAAAAAAATGTAAAACATTAAAATATCAGAACTCTCCAAAAGCTTTGGTGTTTCAGAATGGTGGCCAGTGTGGTTTGTTACAAGCCCATCTGGGTGCCTTACCTGCTCTCCAGAGGACAGTTCGCTGCTCATAGTTGGAGTTGAAGGCCTTGGAGAATGAATGGGACTCCTGTAGGCAGTCCAACAGCTTGAAGAGGTGCTGGGAAGACATGAGCTTGTACATGCCCTGACTCTCTGTCTCGATGTGGATATCTGCATCTAGTGTGTCTTGCTGGAGGGGAGAGACAAGATGACCGAGTGAAGAGTAGTTTAGTGGGGGCTGAGACATTGTGATGGCAGACAGACAAGGCAGTCCAGCTCTCCCAGAACCATCCTTGGAGCATTTTCACTAAGTCTGTTTCTGGCCACATCCTGAGTGGCTGTGTGGTGGTGGGTTGGGGGGGGGGGGCAAGATTCCATGTTGTCACTACAGTCTGTTGCATAAGAAGGGTGTGTGCTTTCAGAACCTCATATAGCACTGGGTTTTTTCTCTTTCCAAAAGTGACCAACGTGAGAGAAGGCCAGAGTCCCAGGTATAACGAAGACAGGAAGAGGAGAGTGTAGTGAGATAGTCCGTCTGTGGCACTGACCACGCCCATTGGGGGGTGGAGCCATGGGCGGAGTGACCTGTGGAAGGAGGTCTGAGGGGAGCCAGGAAAGGCGCTCTTTCTGGCATCACGAACAGGATGAGAGCCCATGGTTCTCTGAGCCCAGTGATGGCCTTCAACCCCAAAGTTAAGACTGGCTCAACATGTGTACAGTGCTCCAAACTGTTAGTGAATATTAGCCTAAAACCTGACACATGTTCAGAGATTTTGTATTTCTGGAAATTTCTAGGAATTGGCCATCCTCCTCATAAATGGCTGAGGAGGGAAGACCATAAAACTTCCTGAGTTGATCTAAAACTCTAGAGCAGCAGTCCTTATCAAAATCCCAGCTGACACCAAATATGCTGGCCCACACCTGTTATTCCAGCTGAGACAGGATGACCAAGGCTAGCCTGGGCCACACAGTGAATTACAGGCCATTCTGAGCTGTACAGTGAGACCCTAATTTAAAAAGCTGATACTAAGCTCCATAAGAGATCTGAAATGGCAGAAAAACCTTGAAAACATACAAGATCAGAGGGCTGACAACCCCAGCTTCCAAAACACACTAAAGAGCTACAGCAATCAGGTTAGTGTGCTGCTGGCATACAAGTAGCTGCTGATAAATTAAACAGCACGGGGCCACAAGAAATAGCCCTTGTATAGATGGTAAAGTGACTTCAGACACGTGCCAGGAAAGGAGAGAAAGGAGAGACTGCATCAGACAGTGCTGAGGACACATGACCATCACATACCAGAGACAAAAACTGGGTCCCTGTCTCACACAGCAAACGAGAAAGAAGTAAAAGCCATGTGAGATCTAAGAGTAAAGTTGATATAAAGCACTCTCCTTTTGAGGCAGGGTCTCTTTTACACAGTCCTGGCTATCCTGTACACCACTACCTCTGGCTGGGCCGGGTTGTGTGTATGTGTGTAGGACGACCAACCCCCTCAAAACCCAAAACCGAAAACACATGTAGAAAGGGAAAGGAGCTTCCAGTCATATGTGATAAGGGATGAACATGTGTCACATACATAACTGAGAGTTTAACAGTAAAGCAGTGATTTTAAAAGGGTGAAGTGCCCACCAAATTATTAGATGGTAAGACTCTACTGTTGAAGACATAATATTTTTGCAGGGGGAAGGGAGCTGAGACAGGGTTTTTCTATGTAGCTCTGGCTATCCTCGAATTTGCAGAGATTCACCTGCTCCTGCCTCCCAAATCCTGGTATTAAAGGTATGTGCCAAACAGCCCAGCTACAGTTTTCTTTTTCAGTGAGTAAGAGTAGTGGCCTGTTTTAGCTTCTGGAGTGTTGGGATTACAGACAAGCACTGCCACACCCAGTATTAATCATAATGGCCAGAGGAGCAACTGTGCTGTGGAATGGCCATATAGAAAAAAAATACTACTATGCTGTGTAATACAAACAACAATAACAACAACAACAAAAAAACCTCAAAACATTCTGCTAAATTACAGAAATCATACCCCAAAGTTCACACTCTGTACTCTATTTATATGAAATGTTCTGAACAGGAAAATCCAGAGACAGAGTCACTGAGTAACTTGTAGGGCTAGGAAGGAAGAAAGGAGGGAGCAGGGATGATGGGGATTGCTGATGGCCATGGTACTGTTTTCACAGGCCTCAAAACATTCTCAAATGACAGTGTCTGCAAGCCTTTGTAAAAACAAAAGACTGAACAGCTTACTTAAAAAAAAAAAAAAAAAATGAAAAAGGGGGGGGGCAGTGGTGCACTCCTTTAATCCCAGCACCCAGGAGACAGAGGCAGGCGGATCTCTGTGATCTCCAGGCCAGCCTGGTCCACAGAGTGAGTTCCAGGACAGGCTCCAAAGCTACAGAGAAACCCTGTCTCAAAAAAACAAACACAAGAAAGAAAGAAAGAAAGAAAGAAAGAAAGAAAGGAAGGAAGGAAGGAAGGAAGGAAGGAAGGAAGGAAGAGGTAAGGAGGGAAGGAGGGAGGGAGGGAGGGAGGGAGGGAGGGAGGGGAAGGGAGAGGACAGATTTGACATGCAGATGTGTTAAATTCAGTAGTTCTTATCCACTTAGACAGTGACAGGTTGCTAGCTAACTGCAGCCCATTCAGAGCATGCTAGTGAAGTCTCCAATGCAGCACAAGGTTACTGCCCAGATGCTAGACACTCAGTTCTGCTTCTAGAATCCTTTATGTGCAGAGAGCCTCACGTACAACACAAAGATATGCTTTTTAAAGAAAAAGCAGGGGATGTTATGCTTGTGTGTGCATGGGTGCCATTGCATGGGTATGGAGGGGAGCCACTCCCCCTTTTACTCTACAGGTCTTGGGCTCAAGTCAGGTTGTCAGGCTTGATGGCAAATGCCTTCACTCACAGAGCCACCTCTCAGAGGCTTCAGGGCTTTTTATGTGCATATCATTCCTCTGATATTTTGTTGTTGGTACTGCTTATGTTCTTTTTATCCTGTGGGTTGTTTTTGTTGTTTGTGATTTTTGAAACAAGGTCTCATGTAGCTCAGGCTAGTATCAAATTTACTGTGTAGTCCAGGCAGGCCTTGAACACATGACAATTCTCTGGCTTTAGCCTATCGAGTGCTGGGATCTCAGGCATGTGCCACCACGCAGCTTTCTTGGTTATTGATGATGAAGATATATACCAACGGTGGAGAGTTGTCCCTGAAATAAATGACATTTTCCCTAGCACCAAGGGAGGGATGGCATCTGAGCAGTGCTATGCTGGTAAGCCAGCTCTCAGGGGAATAAAGACCTTTGACTTTCGGTATTCTGTCTCTCTGCTATGCTGTTTCATCGTGACCAATTTCCAGTGACCAGCACCGTGTGAGGGTGGACAGAGATGAGCATGATGGGCTCAGGAAGGCCCATCTGCACTGGCTCCAACATGCTGTCGCTACTCACAGCCTCCCATGGACAAGAGAGCCCCAGCCCAGGTCCTGGGGTGGTTACCTGGGCAGCAACCATGTGCTCCGCATCCTCCTTTTTGCTGGTGGCAGGGTAGAACACGATGTTGTCAATGGTCTGTATCAACTCCAGCTGAACCACACACTTGATGAGGAGGCTGGCCAACAGTTTCTGATCTACATCAGATGACAAAGATTAACTTTGGCAATGACTCAGGCCTGTTCACTTAGCTCCTCCCGTGTGCCCACAACACTTCTTGGTGCTGTGGCAGGCAATGAATGAAAACTCTGCTGCCTTCCCCAGTGCTGGAGATAATAGGTAAGACCTAAGAGTGATGTCTGCATGGCAGGGTAGAGAGAGGAACTATCAGCGTTGGGTTGCAAGTTTAAGCAAAATGCCAAGAAATGCCTCTCTAAAAACGTGGTTATAAAACAACAAAAGAAGAAGAAAAGGAGAGTGGGAAAGGAGGGAAGTTCAGGAAAATTGGAAAGGGAGAAGCTGAGCAAAGATCTGAAGGTGAGAGACCTGACTGTGCAGATCCCGTGTCCTCAAGAGCTCCACTGGCAGTCACAATTCTCTGACACCACAGCTGTGACTGTGCACTCCTGGCAGGCGGGCAGGGTGCCGATGCCAGCCACTGTGAGCGGGCACTGCGCAGTCTATAGGGGTTAGGGAGCTCTTCTAAGTTCTTAGTTTCCAGGCCACTTTTCTTCCATTCTGGAAGTGGTTTTTTTGTTATTTATTTATTTATTTATTTATTTATTTATTTATTTATTTTAAGACAGGGTTTCTTTGTGTAGCTCTGTAGGCCAGGCTGGCCTTGAACTCATAAGAGATCCATTTGCCTCTGCCTCTCAAGTGCTGGGATTAAAGGAGTGCGCCACCACTGCCCAGCCCAAACTTTAATTTTAAAAAATACAAAGTCAACTAGGTGTTGTGGCCCATGACTTTAATCTAAGCACTTGGGAGGCAGAGTCAGGTGGATCTTTTTGAGTTTGAGGCCAGCCTGGTCTACAGAGCAAGTTCCAGGACAGCTAGGGCTACACAGAGAAACCCTGTCTAGAAAAACAAAAACAAAAAACAGTGAATTAGCTGGGTATGGTGACACACCTTTAAGTCTAGCACTTGGCAGGCAGAGGCAGGCAGAGATCTAAGCAGCAAGCTCTGGCCTAAGAGAAAGCTCCAAGACAGCCAGGATTACATGGAGAGAATTTGTGTCAAACAAACAAACAAACAAACAAAAAAAAAATACAATGAAGTTGTAGCTGATGCTAACATAAAACCAAACTATATAGCCAGGTATGGTGGTCATATCCTGGAGGCTGAAGCAGGAGTCCAAAGGACTGCAAGTTTCAGACAAGTTGGACTAATGTTAGATAGTGGCTTACAAAGCAAAACAAAGATGGAACTGTGTGAACATTTTGGGCTCAGAAAGGAGGCAGAGTTGGGAAAGCGGGAGTTACGTGCTGACTTAGAGACATAGCAGGGGCTCTGGTCCCAAACACCTGTCCAAATGCAGACATCTTATTGCCCTGAGTGAGTCTTCTATTGAGAGGAATTATACTTGACCCCATCCAAATAATGACCTTATCTAGAGGTGATGACAAATCAAACACTCTTCTTCTGGCTGTGAGCAGTTATCAAAGGACAGGACCTCAGTCCCTGGGGCTTTTTTAAAATGGATTTCAAGGTGACTTTTAGTCTCCCAGAAAATAACAGGGATCACATACTGTCATAATCGCCTGTGGCTTCAGAAGTTAAGTCAGTGTTTACTTCACAGCCTGGCATGGGGAGAATGAGATGGGACTGCTCTGAAGACAAATTATGGGGGACCCCACTACAGACAGAACACTTTGAAATGCCAAAAGCATGTCTGGCCCTGTCTACTACACATTGGTAAGTTGTAGCACCTGTCATTCAAATGCAAAGGGGTATTCTTCAAAGGCCAGAAGGACCAATTACTTCATTCATGGAACAGGACAGTGTCTGGCACATAAACAGGGGCATATAGTGCAGCCCTGGATAGCCTGAACTACCTATGTAGATCAGGATAGGAGCTTCAAACCCAGAGATTCACCTGCTAGGATTAAAGGCATGTGTCACCATGCCCAACGCCATATGCCAACTCTTTTTGTTTGTTTGTTATTCAAGACAGGGTTTCTCTGTGTAACAGCCTTAACTGTCCTGGAACTTACTTTGTAGACCAGGCTGGCCTCAAACTCACAGAGATCCGCCTGCCTCTGACCCCCAAGTGCTGAGACAAAAGGACCAGTGCCTGGCTCCAGTTCTTTTTTTTTTTTTTAAAGATGAATTTATTTTATGTATGTGGATGTTACATCTACATGTAAGTTTGCACACCAGAAGAGGGAATCAGATCCCATAGGACTACTATTATAGATGGCTATGAGTCATCATGTGGGTTGGTGCTGGGAACCGAACCTATGAAAGAGCAGCCAGTGCTTTTAACCACTGAACCATCTCTCCAGCCCACATTCCAGGTTTTTTGTTTGTTTGTTTGTTTGGTTTTGGTTTTTCGAGACAGGGTTTCCTCTATATTATTATGGAACCTGTCCTGGAACTCACTCTGTAGACCAGGCTGGCCGTGAACTCACAGAGATCCACCTGCCTCTGCCTCCCGAGTGCTGGGATTAAAGGCGTGTACCACCAATGCCCAGCTCCACATTCCAGTTCTTAAAGCTACTTTTCAAAATGGAAGAGTATAACACCACATAAACAACATTAAGAGACAAACCACAGAAGTAACTGAAACTGGTTTGCAGAGCATCCACAGCCTCTGAAACTGGTTTGCAGAGCATCCACAGCCTCAGGTGGGTGTGACAGATGCAGAGCAGGTTCTCACAGGCATGGGAAAAGGCTCCAGTCAATCACAATTAAACAGAAAGTCATTCCAGAGACATATAATTTTATTGAGGTATTCCCAACGATTATGCAAACAGGAGGCAATCTGGAAACATCCATCAAAATAGCAAATGCTCTTTTTACCCTCTAACACCACTGCTAGTTAATTTCTAGGGATTTTCTAATGACATATGTTAAAATAAGTCATGCAGAACAGTATCCAAGGGTGATAGTCCCAATAATAAAGCAGCAAGTGTCCATTATTAAAATTCATTTAAACAAAGGTGCATTGACGTATTGGAGTAACAGATAACTGAAAGTGTGAAAATTATGTATTGATAGTGAAATGATGCATTAAGTGAAAAGGGAGTATTGTATATTATCCTAACCCTGGCATAAAAAGGAGGAGGGCCAGTGTGTGTAGGTACCTATGTGAACATATGTGCATGTATTTGCAGGCATACGTGTAAAATGACATGAGAGAGGCTGGAGCGAGCTTGGCAGCACTGTGGCACAGGAGAGAGCAGCGTCCTGTTGGCACTTCTGCACTCTCCAAATATCTGAGTCACAAAAAAATGTTGTCCAATTAAGATAAAGAAATGAAAACGCACCAAGAACAAAAGAGGTCTTACTTGTATATGGCGCACCCTTCCAGCTGTCATCAGTGGGGTTGGAGAACTGGCTCTGTCCTTTCTCCGAGGCATTTCTGTCTATACTACTTAAGGACTGTCGGTCCAGGTCCACATCCTAATGTAAACCAGAAAAAAAAAAAAAAAAAAAAAAAAAAAAAAAAAAGAAAAGAAAAGACAATGTTTGCGTCTCTTTGGTGTCCAGCACAGATGTGACTCCTAACACCAACGGCTCATGTTAAATTTAGTTAAAATTTCACATTCTTCTATTTAACTCAAGACATTTCTCTACACATTACAATGAGTGTGACAATTTTTTTAAACTAGGCAGAGTTAAATCAGCAATGTTGTAGCTACTGAAGTTAAAATGAATTTAAAGACAGAATAAAAAGCCAGAGGTCAACAAGATGGCACAGGAGGTAAAAGTGTTGAACCTCATGACCCAGATTTGATCTCCCAAGGCCCACATGATGGAAGCAAAGAACTGACTCACTGACTCCTGTAAGTTCTCTCTCTCTCTCTCTCTCTCTCTCTCTCTCTCTCTCTCTCTCTCTCACACACACACACACACACACACACACACACACACAGAGAGAGAGAGAGATGGAAGGGAGGGAGGGAGGGAGGAAGGGAGAATTAAAAAAGAAGAAAATGTTTATATTTATTTTGGTTCTTGGAGACAAGGTTCCCCTATGTAGCACTGGTCATTCTGGAGCTCACTATTTAGAGCAGGCTAGGTTTGAACTTACAGAGCTCCATCTGCCTCTGCCTCCTGAGTGCTGGCATTAAAGGTAAGCACCACCATTCCCAGCAAACCCAACAAATGTTTAAATATCACACTTCACTTTAAACTGGCCAGTGAGATGGCTCAGCAGGTGAAAGCACTTGCCATCACATCTAAATGTTCAATCCCTGGAATCCTCATGATGAAGCTGAGAAGCACTCCTCCAAGTAGTCTTTTGACCTACAGACACACACACAGACACAGGCACAGACAGATACACACACACACACACACAAACACACACACACACACACACAACACAGACACATGCACAGATACACCACACACAATTTAAAAAAAAAATCTAAAAATAAAAACTGAATAAACATTGATTTCATCCATTTTCATGTTTAAGGCCCAAATCCTTTTAAAATCTAATATTCTTAGTGTTACTTGGGAATGCAAATGAATACTTCTCAAATTCACACACCTTCCTGAAGTAATAAAACAATGAATATATATATATATATATATGTTTGTATGTGTATGTGTGTGTATATATATATATATGTTTGTATGTGTATATATATATATATATATATATATATATATATTTCCCCCCCCCCCTTCTAGACAGGGTTTCTCTGTGTAGCCCTGGCTGTCCTGGAACTTGCTTTGTAGACCAGGCTGGCCTTAATGAACTCATAGAGATCTGCTTGTCTCTGTTTTCTGAGTGCTGGGATTAAAGGTGTGCACCACCATTGCCCCAGTTCAAAACAAAGAATCTTAAGAGATTTAAATTAGGATTTTTAGGTTAAGAACATTGACTGTTCTTTCAGAGGACCAGAGTTTGGTCCCCAGGACCCAATGAGACAGCTTCACAACCTCCTGTAACTATAGTTCCAGAGGATCCATTCCCTTTTCAGGCCTCCGTGGGCACTGTGCTCACATGCACAAATCCATACTCACACGCAGAGATATAACATAGACACATAATTACAAATTTTTAAAAATCAGAATTTATGTGGCTCTATACCAAAAAATAAGGTGACCGTTTCTTTGGTGAGCAGGGCCTGTTAACTCAGGACAACTATAAACAAGAAGCTGTTCAAGGATCTCGACAAGAGCTGGATCCAGACAGAACATACTTGCAGTACTGAGTAGCTCCTGAGAAAAACATTCTCAAAGACACAGAAACATGCTCCCAAGGCTTTGTGCCCATCTGTCTTCATTTTGACAGGAGAGTCCATGGCATGTGCAGACACAAAGGGTAACAGGAAATGCACATAGTGATTTCACTGCAGGAGACTTATTTATTGACTTATGCCTGCTTTTGCCTTGAGCCTAGGAGCCAAAGGTGTGCACTATCACACCAGGCAGGCATGTTAACAGAAGATCTTGTGAACTCGTTCCTTGTTCATTCCCCATGAGAAAACTACAAAACATAGAGGCTGACTAATACTTTCAACCACATCTTTATTTACTTGTTTTATGTGTTGGATGGGATAGGAAGGGGTTGTGTGTGTGTGGGTGGTCAGAGGACTACCTGCAGGAGTCAGTTCCCTACCTCCATCAATTGGGTCTAGAGCACTGAACTGAAGCTATAATAGCTCGGTAGCAGGTACCCTTACCCACTGAGTCATCTCGTTATCCTAGGCCGTCTAACCTTATTAGGATATGAGAAGAGAATAAAGGAACCTACCAAATGCTTATCTGGTGACTCTTCCTCCATTCCCGCAGGTCTCCATGTCAGTAAACTTAAGGGAACAGGAGACAAGGCAAAGATCAGCATAAGTCACATCTGGGAGCCCGGTGATGTCCCCTGGACACACAAACATGGTAACTGCCTTAGCACTTACACATGTGGGATGGTGGTTTTGAAAATATCCAACATGCAATTGCAGGTTTCGTCCCAAACAGCAGGGCTGAACTTCTCTCCGTTGGATATCACTAGGTTCTCTAAGCAGTTAGTACCTGATCGCGCCAACTGCTCATTATCTGCAAAACCAACAGCATCTGCCATTTTAACTGCTGCCCCGACACCACCCCCAAGTCTGATGGATCCACGGTCTTTATCTGCTATTGTAAGGTGAGGATTGTAGCTGGAGGTCTATAAGCTCTAATGAAACCAGACTATGAAGAGTCACATATTATAGCTACAGTATGCCACTAAGAGGCACAAACTGGGGCTGGAGAGGCAGCTCAGTGGGTAAGAGCACTGGTTGCTCTTCCAGACGCTCTGGATTCAATTCCCAGTACCCACATAACAGCTCACAATTACTGTAATTCCTACCCAGGGGATTCTGGTCATGAATGTTTGACATACACATGGTGCACAGACATACATGTGTGGAAAACCATACAGATAAAATTTTAAAAATTAAAAAAAAAACACATATTTTTAGAGAAACATTCAGTCAGTTTTGCTGGTGGGGTGGAGGAAAAAAAAATCAGGGTTTTTGTTAACTTTAATTAACTGGTTATATACAGGAAATGGCAGAAGACGCAGAAAAATAGTGTTTCTGATTTAATCACCAACATTTCTAATTTTCGCCATCAAAATAATATAGCAGTTTGCTGCTTACTTTAAAATGGAGTCATTTTTTAAAAACCTTAACTGAATTTAACTTTGCCCTGGCCAAAATGGGATCCAGGTCTGATTCATACACAGTCTTTATCTGATATATACTAACATGAACACACAACTACTCAAACAAAAGGATGTCCCCTGACGAAGCTGTTGACCTTGATTCCAAAAGTACCTTTAAAAGTACTGTACTAAAAAAAAAAAAAAAAAAAAAAAAAAAAATTACAATCATATAAACCTTGAAAGCACAAAGTACATGTCAACTTTTACAACAAAAGCAATGAAATCCCTCTTTAAAATGTGCTTTATAAGCCAGCCTGGGGAGGGACTAGTGGATTAAATTGTACACAGTATCCCTTGGCATTACATCTATACTTTCATAGACAGGAATGTGACTCTTCCTTAGACCCTGTAAGAGGAATGTTACCCTCCCTGACCTAATGAATACCTTGTTTCACGCACCACTGCAGCTGTGCAAACACAGCAGAGAGAAGCACTTCATTTAAAGCCTCGTAGAACTGGGTGAATACATCACAAATAGCATACAGTGCGTGATTGCAGGTGGTCGTCATCCATTCTGATTTCTAAAAATGAAAAAAGATGAATTTTCAAAACCAGCTTCTCTGTAGTGAGATGGCTATTCTTGTAGCTAGAACAGCATTTAGCAACATCTCAAAACCATCTATAGCCACTCACTCAAACACTACCTTAGGTGTGTGAACAAATGTACACTGAGGAAGATGACATTCGTACTCTGAAAACAGCATGATCTGCAGAGTGCTTATCTTGTCCATATCGTCCCTGCCTATAATTTCACTGTGAGTCCTTAAGGACCAAGTGATAGGACAAAACAACAAAGACAAGCAGCCAGGAGCCTGTTGAGCTGGCAAGTACAGTGTCCAGTGGGCAAACTACGAGTTACCCCTCTCCAGAAAAGGCTCTCTCAGGACTAGCTGACACTGGCCTAGAAGGTACAGCCCATCTATCCACCTGTGAAAACACCGTAAGGAGCTCAGGGTTTTCAAACCCTTGGGATTTGGCAACACAACCCCAGGAAGGTCAGCCATGCTTTTGGACCCCATCACACCCACTCATAGGCAGTGCTGTAGCTAGCACCCACCTCTGACTGTTGCTCAGGGAGTTTCATGTTGTCAAAAATTCGAAACACGATTCTGAATAGGTCCTGCCACCAGTGCTTTGCAAAGGTGTGGCCATAGCTCTTCATGATCTCAAACATGACGGTTAGTCCCCTGGAGGAAAAGCAAAGGAGAGCAGGCGGGGAAGAAAACACTAAGACCAAGGTGGGGGAGGGAACGAAGCGTGTCAAGCAGCTGACTCATTTTAGTGATGTCAAGGGGCAGTTGCCCTGGGGCCCATTACCTTGTACGCACGTCTAACTTGCATCTGTTAATGATGCAGGAGAGCTCAAACAGGATGGGAAACCAGCCTCTGACCCAGACTCTGTCACCAGGAGCCACATTCATGTCATCACTTGTGTATTCTTGCAGTACCTGCAGTGAAAATTATTTCTCAGATGTAGCCTAAGCAAGCAGCAGGAATCAGAGGCCACCAGATAAAGACTGAGGCTCCAGACAACCTCTTTATCCCAAAGTCTCTGTTCCCAGAGACTGAGAGACACTGACCTGCCCACTTGAGGTAGTATCCTGCCCCCCCATCTCCTCACCCTCCATGGACCTATGAACCTGAGTGAGGAAGCTCACAAGAGCCCTGGGGCAGACAGTGTTACATTAAGAACTGTGCTAAAATGCCTTGAACTAACAGATCTGCTTGCCTCTGCCTATTGAGTACTGGGATTAAAGGCATGCACCACCACTACTATGCCTTGCCTTGGACATGCTTTTCTAACACACTTGTGGGAAAGGTTTTGTCAGCAGAAAAGGGTCTTGGACCCACAACTTTCTGGTTGGGCCCACAAAAGCAAGGAAGGGAGACACACCCGAGGCCTCTCTGAGACATATTTCCCACAGAAGCGAATGAGCCGGATGGCCTCCATGCTGGTGTCAGGGAAAGCGGCATTGCAGGCAAACTCTGACAAGCACTTCACAGCATCCTGGAAGGAGTCGATGGCCGCAGGGAAATGGTGCTGGAAAATGGTTGCTGGGGAGACATAACGCAGCAGGGTTTGGAAATGGGGGGTCAGGGACAACAGCCTTGGAGAACGAGGGCCTCTGAGAAGGATTGTCACAGCTGTCCACTTCTGTGCCTCCATTTCTCTTTGTAACAAAATGGAGGCAACGGAGGTTACAATGTCCATGAACACAAACATGGAACACTTAACATCTACTCCCATGGGAAAAAGGAGCTTCCTGTGAGCCTGTCATGTCCCCATCAACCAGTGACCATGAGCCTTGTGTCGGCTGTGTTCTTGACTCTTTGTGTATGTAACAGGCACTATTAAGGCATCAACACTAAACCAACAACCAACAGGACCACAACACCTGCCTACAGCAAGCTTGTCTTTCTGTACAAGACACATCAGTACATAAGTGGCCAACAGAAAGCATGAAGTTATGAAAACTGGCACTTGGAAGACTCCAGTAAGAACCCCCGCTTGCCGTGATGGGATCTCCTCCTTGTTCTACCTCAGCTCAGAGTGTGCCCTGGGTGACTTGGGTTTTCTGCTGCTCCCCACACTCATGTGTTGGCAAGACCACAAAATCGGTGAGAGAGGAGCTGGCGGTTTAGGTCTACACTGTAATGAGCCAGCAGCTCAGACACAGGACTTGCAAGGATGGAGAACTGGCTGTATTTCCTTCACACTTCTAACCGTGCCCAGCACGTTTATCCCAACAGAACAGAACTGGAGCAAGGAAGCCCCATAACAGGAAGATGGACAGCTAAGAAGGGTCACCTGCTAGACTTCAAGTGGGTTGAAAGGGAAGGTGTGTGTGTGTGGGGGGGGAACATACGGGACAGACTGACACACTTACAGACGATGTGGCCAGTGGTCTGGAAGGCCAGTTCCACGATGTTCCCATCATGGTCAGAGGCCGCCTGGTGGAACACAGCAAAGATATTCTTCCAGCCAGAGCGGATGTTGGCTGCCTGGGAGCTCACCATCTGGGCGATGCAGCGGATCACCATGTCCCGGATGGTCGGGGACCTGGGCAAGAGGTGGGAGGGTGAGAAGATAGACACACTCTGCTCTTTCAGGTAGCACATTAGAAAACCATGTTTTAAAGCACATTCAATTAGGCTCAGTTTCTCCTGCTGCCCCACTATGGAATTAGAGCGACAGACCATACTACAATCACAGAACCATAAGGTCAAGGAGAAAGTACTACTTGGTGTCCTACAGAAGCAAGGAATGGATGAGTCTGAGTTTATAAGGCTTTGGATGTGGAACCAGAGTTGGGACTGCCTATCTCTGACTTCATGTTCATTGACAGTGCACAGCCTTCCGGGAGAAGCCTGCTGCACAGGCCTGTGTCACTGACCACATGGCAGCCCTTCAGAGAAGGCAGAGAGAGTTCACAAAGTAAAGATGCAGCCTGCAGCAAAGAAGGGCTGACTCCCTATCTAGCCAATTTCAAAACCCCAGAAAACAGAATTCTGGTTGTTTTCCCATGTAGAATTTTCAAACTTATGGGATATGTATATGCATAAATATTTATACATGCACACACGAATGCATATGTACATATGTCAGTGTGTGTGTGTGTGTGTGTGTGTGTGTGTGTGTGTGTGTGTGTCTGTGTGTGTGAGGATGCATGTTAGGGACTGAAACAGGACAGCAGACATTCTAAGCAAGGGCTACGCTAATCTTAAGCCCTTGGACTACGTGCTGATTAAAGGAGTTTTTACCCAGTGGTTAGTGGTGTGACAGACTTTCAGACAGCAATAGGGATGTGACTGAGGGCCTTCAAGATAATGTGCATTACCTGTTTTTCTTCATAATGTGCTCAAATGGCCTCAGAAAGTCCTTCTGAAATCTGAAGTTGGCCAATTCTCCCTTCTCTAGAAACTTCATGGACAGTTGCCTCAGTGAATCAACAGCAAAGATGGCCACATCTTCATTAGGGTTACAGCCAACCTAGCAGAGCAGGAAGTGAGAAGCCGGTTCAGTGGAACAGTTGTGGGTATGAGGCTCTACATCAAAGGTAGGCAGCCTACCTGCAAACACTCGGGGAGGCACATCTAAAGACAGGAAACGCTACTTCTCGGCTGAGACGGGTCAAATGCCATGTGTCACATGCAAATGTCATGATGGAAGATCAGCAAGCCTCTAGCCTCTGCCCTGGGTTGGGGTTACAGGAGACTGTCCTTTCCTTTTAAGTATTTATTTGCTTTGGTATGAATGTGGTATGTGTACATGTGTGTGGGGCTGTGTACTGTGCATGTGGAGTTGATGTTGGGTGTCTTCCTCATTACTTCCCACCTTATCCAGTCCTGAGCCCATCAATTGGCTAGAACAGCTCCAAGAGCTGTCTCTGCCACTACCTGGGTTACAGATGTGCACTGCCTAGTCCAGCTTTTATTGGGTCCTAGGGATCAAACTCAGGTGCTCATGCTTGCACAGCTAGCCCTCTATATTGAATAAAATCTTGAGTGGGGAAATGAAGCCAGCAGCTGTCTGTTTCAAAGTGTTTGCTTGTTCTGGATGTCTTTGGCTTGTCTCTGACTTACAAACAAATGATAGTTTTCCCACAAGGTTTTGGAAGAGGAGTGGTAATAGGGCCTGTGTATAGTAAGTTGTGACACTGAACAGTATGTGAGCATGGCTCTACCATAGGTCAGTAGGAGAGGTCTATCAGATTTCCCATGCCTCCAAGCACCAGCAGGTCTGTCCAGCAACTGTAATGTGGTGTTACAGTACATTTGTGGTGTTAGCCTGTCCTGAATGTGGGGTTATTTTATTTTATTTTATTATTGTTTTGGTTTTTTCAAGACCGGGTTCCTCTGAGTAGTTCTGGCTGTCCTGGAACTAGCTCTGTAGACCTGTCTTGCCTCAAACTCACAGAGATCCACTTTCTCCTGCATCCAGAGAGAGTGCTGGAATTAGAGGCTTGTGCCACATTGTCTGGCTGTGGTTATTTTTAAAACAGAGTGGCAATAATATGCACAGGTTGGATATACATGGTGGCGCATGCCTTTAATTCCACCACTTGGGAGGCAGAGGCATGCAGATCTCTGTGAGCTGAAGGCTAACCTGGTCTACATAGCAAATTTCAGGACATCCAGAGAGCTACATAGTGATACTCCATCTAAAAAGACTTAAAAAAAAAAAAAAAAAAAAAAAAAGAAAGAAAGAAAAGAAAAAGAAAGGATCATATCTAGGCTGACCTAGAACTTGCCATATAGCTAAAGATGACCATCAACTCCATGCTGGATTAAAGGCATGCTCTACCATGTCCTATTAGTGCCTTGCTGGGGACTGAACCCAGGCTCTGTGCATGTTGGGCAAGCACTCTATCAGCTGAGCTACAATCCCAGCCATGGACAGGAAAGTATTTTCATACTATTAGACTTCAAAATCATTCTACATGACTCCTATCCAAACATAAGCACAACTTGATTTCACAGGGAAAAATGAATTGGTGGTAAATCCCCCAAATGGGGCCAATCCCTCCCATTCCTTCCTTCTGGAGTGCAGTGCCTGCTTTCTTTCAGCTGCTGCTGCTTGGCCTTTAGACAACAGTTACCTTATTGAAGTGCTCTCCAATGACATGCCATATCCGAGACCACTGCAGTCGGATCCGGCTCATGTTGTAGTACGATATCTCCACAATCTTCTGCAGGCTGAACATCCGGGGATGGTGGGGGGAGGCCAGCTCATCCATGGACACAGCACAAAGCCAGCGGACAAAGTCAACTACAGGACCGAGACAGCAGCGCATGGGAAGCCTGGTTAGTGACATCCACACAATCACAGCAAGAGGTACATATGGATTTCACTAAAGTCAGATACATACCTATTGCATTTCCATCCAGTCTAGTAGAGCCAGTAAAAATTCTAGGGAGGAAATAGAAATTTCTCAAGTACTCAGAAAAGGAAGAGAGAAAATATTAACAGTTGAAACAGATTAGAAATCATTACACCCAGAAACTATTTTAATAAATGATACCAGGTGCAGGTGGTGGAGTGTCAGTGGAGAACAAAGTCATTACCTGTCCACTGCAACAACCACACTCTGTGAGCTGGTTTCACCAACAGACTCCTGGAAGCTGGCCATCTGTCTTTTATCTACGCCACCACTCACCAAATTACCTGAAACACAATGCACAAAATCAGCAGGACTACAGAGTCTAGTATTTACGTGCACACCTCTATTCCTAGCACTCAGGTGGTAGAGGCATAAGGATCAGAAGTTCAAGGTCAGCCTCTGCTACATAGTAAGTCTGAGGCCAACATGGGACACAGGAAACTGCCTCCAAAAAAGCAAAGCACATAAACAAGAGGAAACACCTTTGCCTCAGGTAAATACAAAGGGCATAAATAAGAACAGGAATGCAAGTAAAACAAAACTAAGAACAAACAGCCCCACTGTGGACAGAGTAACAAGCTTACTTTTAGGGTTTAAAATGCATCCTTGCTATAGGCCCTCCTGCTTGTAGACTATGTCCTAGTGCGTAGGAGAACAAGCAAGCAAGTGGCCAAGGGCTCCAAGAACACACATGGCTCTGGGGCTGGACACTGGGGGGCTGTGCAGGATTTCACTGCAGTCACCCCCCAGAGAAAACAAGCAGGTGCTGTCACTGCCTGTCCTCTGAGCCCGAACTGTACTGGCTGCACTGTTCTCGGACCCAGCAGCCTCAGCTTCCTCCTTGCCACATGACTGCTCAGGTCACTCTCCCCCACTTTAGTTTCCTCAGTTATTCACAAGGGGCAGGTAGCAGCCTTCATATCATTGGATCATTATGAGGACCAAATGAGCTAAAGCATATAAACTGGGAACTCAGAATGTGGCCTGGCACCTTTGCTTGCCATATTGACTATTATAATCATAACATAGCTGACCAGAGTCCTTCAACCCACAGCAAAGACGGGAACAACCATTTATTCTAAGAACATGAATGAAATGCAGTCAGGATCTAGCCTCTCCCAAGCAGAAACACAGACAGAACAGCAGAGCCTCTACCACAGGGGGGCCCAGAGCGGCCCCACCTAGAGAAGGAACAGGGAAGCACCTTGCTCATGCTGGGAAACTGACACTTTACTCAACTCAATCGCAACAAGGCAGTTGAAGTACATGCCCATACACATGACTTCAGCTTCACAGAGAGGAAGAGAATGGGCACAGGACAGTCCTGACGTGACAAGAAGAGCTTCATCACTCTTAACTAGTGAACTCGTGCTGGCCAGCTGGGCCTGGTGTCTTACCGAGGCCAAGACCCAGGAATTCTTCTCCTGCCAACGTGTGGCCCTTCAGGCTCCCTTCTCTTTCCCGCCCAGAGCCAGACAGGTAGCGAGTCTTCACCCCAGTTCCTATCAGCTGAGCAAGTTCCAATTGGCTGATGCATTTCAAGATCTAAGAAGAAGGGAATGAGAGTGAAGCCTTGCTTCATAGTCAAAAGGAAGACACCTCAGTCTTCAGTCAGTTCCCGAGTTTACTGAAACATGCAATTTTCACACTAAGAATAAAACTTATGCCCTTCAGATGGCTTCCCTGAAGGTCAGAATGGCTGGCTAGTCAGTCCTAACTACACAACTATGATTGTGGGTTTTAAAAACACAGTACTACACACCATTGTGTGACACATGCCTTTAATCTTTAATCCCAGTACTCGGGAGGCAAAGGCAGGTGGATCTCTGGGAATTCAAGACTGGCCTGATGTACAGAGCTAGTTCCAGGACAGGCAGAGCTACACAAGGAAACCCTGTCTCAAAAGGAAAAAACAAAAAACAAAAACAGAAGAATTGGTACAAGAGGGTTACACACACACACGTTCAGAAATACATGTGTATGTGTATTTGTAAACCTCGATTGAAGTAGGACTCCATTTCCCACGAAACTCAACCCATGTGGTCGGACCTAGTTCCTGCTCCTCAACCTGTCCACTCTCTTCCTCAGACACTGCACAGAGCCTCCCTGGCTTCCACACTGTTCCTTTATCTTGGCATCTCTGTCTTGCCTCGGGGTCTTTGCATTTCTGTTCTTCACGTCTTGAAAGGTACTTCTCCCAGCCCAATCCTTCAGCTGTGACCAGGTGTGTGTCCCCTACCAAGAAAACTTTCTTAAAACTCCTGCTCACACTCCCCAACACCACCCCACATTGCACTCATTGCTGTCATTATGCCATGTGTTTACGGATTTGTTCTCTGCCACCAGTGTCAAGAGTAAACGAACTCTGTCTTCATGGGCAGCTTTGGGACTCATGAGGTAAAGGAAGGCTTAATTAATTATACCAACAGTAGAACTGAATAGGAAGAGAAAAAGAAATAAGAGGCCAAGAGTCACCCTGAGAAAAGGCAGGGAGGGACGCAAACCTCATGCCAAGAGTTGCCAAGGTAGTTGCCATCAGTGTGAGCCACGGTGATGAGCGTCTTTATGGTGTCAATGTTCTTCTGCTTCATTTCTGTGATGCTGGAGCTGGCTGTCAGCAGGGAAAAGCGAGCAAGGGCCTGAACATAGGCATCTCGTTCCAGCTGAAAGAGAAGCCCAGGAGAGCACAGTGACCCCACTCACAGTGCAGCCACTCAGGAAGCAGGCTGGCACACTGAGCTTCTCTGCTGTTTCCAAATGCACACAGCAGGCTTTGGCTCACCAGCCCTCCAGCCATCACATGCTGGCATGCTTCCACTCCCTGCGCATAACTACAGTTGAGAACCAGTTCTTTACAGCGACAAACCACACACTATCTGTCCTGGTGTTCCAATTTCTTTGCCTGTCAAATAAATGCAAACATTTACAGCAATTCCTAAGGTGGGCATAAATGAGGAGGTAAGTGGTGCCTTTGAGTTTGGAGGGGCAACATCACCAGGCTAGAGAAGTAGCAGAGTGGGCTTTGAAACTCTGGCTTCCAGTTTCAGAACCTTGATACAAAGGAAAATGTCTAGAAAGATGGATAATGACAGAAGACTGACTGACACTTTCAGAACAAACTAATGGGCACCTAGAAACAAGGTGTGGAGTAGACACCAGCCTTGTGACTGACTGCATAATGGCTCGAAGACTGCATTGGTTTGTTGTTTCAGGATTCAAACAAGGTTTATAGACACATAAATGTATTCAACCATCTGCCAGCCCCAGAGCAGGGTGGGAGATAGGGAAATCATGGTGAAAATGGGTTACAAAAGGCAGCAGCAAATCGGGGCAATGCTGGAATAAAACTGAGAACTTCCAGGCAGCTGATGATACCACACACTTTACTAGAGAGCTATGCCCTCAACCAGACGTGTAAGCACCAGGGCACGTAAATGTGGACAAAAGGCGGTTTTGTCATTGCTCAAAAACCCTCAGTTTTCTCCCTTCGGGAACAATGTTAGCACAAAGCCACAGGTTGTTTCTTAGTGGGAAGGAGTAAGTACTTTGCTTAAGTACTTGGTTAACTGGATTCCAGTTTCAAAGCTTTTACAGTCTGAAAAAGCCCACCACGGGATCGCTGGAACCCCACTCACTTCTACCCACCTGCATTCCAAAGATGCAGGCGATGCGGACTGCACACCTGATGCCTTCCAAACACAGGGAGGCCACCTCTGTGTCATCGCAGTTCTGCAGGCCAATGCTATAGGCTGCCAGCAGGGGCGTCCACACCAACTGCCAAAGATGCAAGTTTCAACAACAACCAGAATTTCAGTATGGCAAGAGCACTTAAAGCAGGGGTTCTAAACTGCTAGAAACAGTGGTTTCTAATGCAGCAGCCCTTTAATACAGTTCCTCGTGGTGTGGTGACCCCCAACCATAAAATTACTTTCATGGCTACCCTCAGTAATTGTAATTTTGCTACTGTTATAAATTGTAATTTAATATCTGATAGGCAAGCCCTGTGAAAAGGTCATTTGACCCCCAAAGGGGCCAAGACCCACAGGTTGAGAACCAATGATATAGAGTGTATTGTATCAGTTAGAGGAATAGCAAAATGCTGTGTTCACTCTAACTTTGACTTCAATCTATTCCATTCACAAAGAAAAAGTTGCTTATAAACTATGGTCACTATAAACATATTATTTAATAAACAGACAGTTTAACAAACAGTTTATTAACCAGTACATAGTGTCAGATTCCCACGAAACTGGAGTTACAGGTGGTTTCTTGGAACAGAGCCCTGAACATCTGCAGGAACAGCCTGTGCACTTAACTGCTGAGGCATCTCATTAGTGCCACAGAATCAGTTCTCTACACAGCCATTAACACTCAGGAGTGGTGTGTAGAATAACACATGCAACTGAGCTGGACTTGGTGTGCATGTCTTTAGTCAAGTAAAATCAAGTGGATCTCTGTGAGTCAGGCCAGCCTGGTCTACTGGTCTACATGACAAATTTCAGGCCACTCAAGGCTACAAACAAACAAACAAATAAACAAACAAAAAAACTGTTAAGAGAAATATGGTGTCAAAAGGTAGTTCAGTGGGTAAAGAAGCTTTTGCCAAGAAGATGCCAGAGACTCACATGGTGGACACAGCTATGCTCTGACCCCCTCAGGCAGGCAAATGCAAATACACACTCACCATCTTAAAAGTTACATTATTTATTTGTTTGTTTGTTTGTTTATGGGTATGTGTCTTTTCTAAACATTTTAAAATAGACATCAACTACTATCTCTCTCTCCCACCAGATTTCACCCGACAAGCTAACCCTGAAGCCAGTAAGGTGAGCACACATCAAAACTGGCCTTGTAGGACTGGTGAGAGGGATCAGTGAGTAAGGGCACTCGATGCCTGGGTTCCACCCTGGGACCCATTCGGTAAAGAAAAGCACTCACTCCTACAGGTGTCCTCTCTCCTCCCTACACTCCATGGTGTGCATGCACACAACACAAGTAATTTTAAAAACAAAATGGTCCTGCTGGACGGTTGTGGTGTACACCTTTAATTCCAGCACTCAGGAGGCAGAGGCAGGAGGATCTATGTGAGTTCAAGGCCAGCCTGGTCTACAGAGCTAGTTTTGAAAGGACAGCCCAAGCTATACAAAGAAATCCTGTCTCAAAACAAAAACAAAACAGTCCTTCCACAGTGTCATGTGCCTGAACGATTATTAATTTGTTCAATCCCCATCAAACCATTCAAAACAGTTTCTGTCCCCATCCCCATTTGACAGAAAATAAGACAGAGAGTGATCGACCTGACCAAGGCCACATGGCTACAAAGCAGTAAGGCCAAGATTCAAACCCAGATGGAGAGCGGAGGCCATGACAGTGCTGGCACTTACAGAAGGGACCCCCTACTGAGGCACCCTGGTTTTTCTCTCCATTCTCTCACCAACCAAGTTTATTGCAGACCAGCTGCAGACTTAGGCTAGGCAACATGCTAACTTTCTAGGATACTCACTTTGAACATTGGCCGAACATGGTCCAAGTGTGTGGCACTGGTAAATGGAGCTTTGGCATGGCTCACGGCCTCCATCAGAGCTTTGGCCGTTTTAGCCATCTGTTCCATTTCCATATTGTACAGCAGTCGCCGTTGCTTTTCACTGGCTACGTCTGCAAAGAAGAGCACACACACACACAGTGCTAGCCATGCTTCAGGAACTTCCTCAAAAGCCTTACATTATTGACTCACAAGTCTCCCAATCATACTGTGAGCCTGTTACAAATATTACCATTTCACAGATGTGGATGATGAGGCAGACTGGCTGGGTATGAATGCTGCTAACCCTGCCCTGGGTCACAGGGCTTGGAACTGGCAGAGCTGAGGCTTGGCTGGAGGAGTGAGGTTCTAAGTCCTGTGCTCTAGGCACTGCTCCTGAGCTTCATCAATAGAGACTGACAGAAAGCACCACAGGGGCTAATTAAGACTTCCAGCCACAACTGACACAAGCATCATGAGTTTAAAGTTTTGTGGAGTACTTTCGGGGGGAACAATTTAGCTCTTAGAGTACACACTTTTAATTCCTTCTTGCTCCTAATTATAAACCTAGCAAGAATCATATTATGAAAGAATCACATAATCATAATAATTGAATCATATTACTATTCAGGTATCTAGAGATACAAATTAAAATTATCACCATCAGTACACTTAATCATCCTTTCTGATGTACTCAAAGGCAGAGCTGGGGCTGGAGAGATGGCTCTGTAGTTAAGAGCACTGACTACTCTCGCAAAGATTCAAGATTCAAATCCCAGCATCCACATGGCAGATAACAACTGTCTGTAACTACAAGATCTGACACTTTCATACAGACATACATGCAGGCAAAACACCAACGCATACAAAGTAAAAGTAGATGAATTTAAAAAATACTATTAAAAAAATCTGTTTTCAAAATATATTAGAGAAATGTATATGAAGCAATTTGGGGGGCTTCAGAGATGGTTCGGAAGAGATGGCTCTTCCGAAGTCCTGAGTTCAAATCCCAGCAACCACATGGAGGCTCACAACCATCTGTAAAAAGATATGGCGCCCCCTTTTGGTCTGCAGGAATACATGCAGGCAGAATAATATATATATAAAATCTTAAAAAAAAAATGCAGGGCGATGATGGTGACTCAAGCCTTTAATCCCAGCACTCAGGTGGCAAAGGCAAATAGATCTCTGTGACTTTGAGGCCAGCCTGTCTTGAACCCCCTACCCCCCCCCCCAAAAAAAAAAGGCAGAGCTGAGCCCCATCCCTAGACAAAGATCTACAAGCAAAGCAACTAAGGACTGCTCTGGAGAGAACTAGTCTCCCACAGGGCTGAGGGGTCAGCTCTGAAATCATATACTTCCAAGCAACACTAAATGGCCTCAGCAGATTCTATTTATATATTTGTGTGTTTAAATGTATGCGTATATGTAACAATAACAATGAAAGAAAAAGAGGTCATGAATTTAAGAGGGAATGAGAGGGGAGCCACAGAAGGGGATGGAAGGAGGAAGGGGGAGGGGAAAATGATGCAATTATATTTTAATGAAAGAAAAGTTAGTGCTGCTGGGCAAGTCTGCAGTAGGCAGGCCTTACTCTGCTTGGTAGATTTGGTTGCAATTGTGTGCTCTTTTGTTTCCTTCATTGCAATCTTCTTCCCTTCTATTTCTTCGTAGATGCTGGACAGATACTCCTCTGGGAGGTCTTTACTATCATTGATACCCCGATTCATTTTAATATATTGCTCTTTTGTCATTTTATTCTTTACCTGAAATTCAAAAAGAGAAAAACAAAAAACCCCACAAGAGCTTCTGAGTAAATTGGGAGTGTAGGGGGCAAGGGGACAGGTGGGAGGGGAGAAGGGAGGAGGGAAAAAGAGTGGGGGAAAATGTATAGCTCAATAAAAAAAGGGGGGGGGAACATTTAAAAAGACTGAAATGCCCAAACAAATTCAGTCATGTCTGGCTACGATCCATGAATCATAGGGTATTTTACCTGAGGGCTGTGCAAGTCTGTAGTTAGCATAATAATGGAATATGCCAGGACATACGCAGTGTCAGCACTAGCAAACAGGGTTTGCCTGGAAGAAAAGAACCCAGATATGAAGCGTGGCCACAGTGATGACAGCCAGGGAGAATGGCACTGGTGGGAACAAGGGTCACCAAAAGCAGTCCCGCTGCACCGTATGGGGTGGGACCAGGGAAGAGTATTCTCAACAAGCACTGTCAACAAACAAGAGCTAACAGTCAGTGTACGAAGGGGGTATGCAGCTCCAGGCACAGGATGCAGGGGATGCTTGTGGGCACCAGCCTGCTAGGGACCACCCTGGGATGGATGACTCCTTATCCTTCACATGCTAGGAGCTTCTTGGGCTTCACTTGAGAGCTTCAGCTCTGGCACAGAAGTACAACATAAACTCTTTCTTAGTTATTAGTTATTTACCGATTCCATTATCTACTGCGGTACTTAACAGAGGAAACACAAAGCAAAATATTTCTATTCTTTTAAAGCATATGCCCGAGGCCTGACATTTTTGCCTTAGGCAAGGAAAGACAAAACCATGTAGACACTAAGCCATATTACATGTGAACTGAAGATGGAAAAACTGGTCTGTACAAACTGGTCCACCAGGAAGAGACTCCCAAGAAATACAGCAAAAGGAGAGCTGATGGCCTGATCAACTGACTAGACCAATAGAGCAAGATCTCCAGGCCCACGGAGGGCACACTTCAGTTACCAACATACCATTACAGCTTCACATCAGGTTATCCTGTCTGTTACAGTCACATGACCACAGGCTGCCTCTGCCAACCACACTGTCTCCTGGCCACACACTGGCAGGACTGGGACTGGTTAATATGAAAATGGAATTGACCTGAGACAAAACTGTCATCAAAGTGTTTCCCTGAGCAGTTTCCACTCCACACTCACAGCTGCACCTGTGGAGGGAGGGCCACGCAGCCTCAGACAAATTCAGACATCTTGGCTTGGCTAGCTATTAGCTGACTAATTTTGGTTTGGATTCTCCATCTTTTAGAGCCTCAGTTTCCCTCCAGTAACACAGGCCTGCCACTGATTTAGGATGATGAATGAACAACAGGCTTAATGACACCTAGCTCCTTCCTAAGTTTTGGGTCAGGACACAAAGCAATAGGTTTCACCAAGCTTCTCTGCACATGCTTATCATTACATTCTGTTCTTTTTTGTTTCGTTTTAAGATTTATTTGTTATGTATACAGTGTCCTGCCAGCCAGAAGAAGGCACCAGATCTTATTACAGATGGTTGTGAGCCACCATGTGGTTGCTGGGAATTGAACTCAGGACCTCTGGAAGAGCAGCCAGTGGGCTTAACCCCTAAGCCATCATACCAGCCCTATATTTTGTTCTAATGTTTCCCCATGCAGCTTGCCTTCTTCCAGCTGGTTCTCTTCATTCTCAGTTAGTCCTTACTTCTGCTATATGTCATTTGCATTCTAAAACTCTACTTCTCAGCCCAGTTAGGACCAAAACTTCTCTAACTCCCATAAAACCAATAACTGGGGGCTAGTGGGATGGCTCAGTGGTTAAGAGCACTGACTGCTCTTCCAGGGGACCCAGGTTCAATTCTTAGCACCCATATGGTAGCTCATAACTGTCTTTAACTCCAGGATTCAACATCCTTACACAGACATACATGCAGGCAAAACAGGAAGAAGAAAAAAAAAAAAAAAAAGGCCAGGCAGTGGTGGTTCACACCTTTAATCCCAGCACTCAGGAGGCAGAGGCAGGTGGATCTGTGAGTTTGAGGTCAGCCTGCTCTACACAGTGAGTTCCAGGACAGGCTCCAAAGCTACAGAGAAACCCTGTCCCAAAAAACTAAAAACCAAACCAAACAAACAAAAAACAGCAACTGACTATTAAGCAACTAGGACTAGGGCTGGTAAGACAGCTCAGCAGCTAAAGGTACTTGCGTTGACAAACTGAGTTCAAGTCCCAGAAATCACATAAAGGCAGAAGGAACAAACTGGTTCTAAAGTTGTCCTTTAACCTCCACACCTAAGTTGTGGTACTTGTGCCCCTCCAGATCCATCATCATGCACACATATGTACAATAGTAAACACAATAAAAATTAAAGCACCCAAGATAAAACCAAGTATTTGTTGGAAGGTTTTATAATGTTACGCAGCCACTTCTATAGTTTATCAGCATGTAATCAAAAAAATCCTCTCTGCTCTGTTCCACACTATGCTAGCTGTTAGAGAGTTATCACTCACAAGCAAAAGAAGACTTCACCTTAGCTGTGTGACCTACTCCCCTCAATGCTGGATGTTGACCCCAAGGCCTTATGCAGCCAAGGCAAGTGCTCTACCACTGAGCTATAGCCCCAGCCCTTGTTTTTGTTTTAAGACAAGGCAGCTTAGACTTGCCTCTATTTCTCACTCCCCTTGACTCTACCTCTTCAGCATCAGCATACCCAGCTAGCCACGAGATCTTAGGCAAGTTACTTAACTTCTCTGGCCCCCCAACCTCCTTGTCTGTAATATAGGAACACAAATAAGATTGCTACAAGGTCTTATGTGGGGTACTGCTTAGCAGAGCCTGACTCTTAGTGAACAGACACATTAGTGTCTTAGCAGAATTGCAATGATTAAACCCAAACCTCAAGTCAAGATAAATGTTGGCAAAAAGGAAGAAGCAGTTGTCACAGTGCTCACCCTTGGTTACACTCTATGTATCGAGCAGCAAACTTCTCCATTAACCGGTCAATCTTCTGTGCTTCTCCAGGCAGGCGGAAGCCTTCCAGGAATGTCCTCAGGGCTGAAACAAACTCTTTTTCACAGAAGTCCAGTTGGTCCACATAGGCGTACATCACCTCCTTGTTGAACCTCGTGCTATCACCCAGAAACTCACCAACCTGGGTCTGAAATACATAGGTGCACTCACATCCAGAAACTGCCATCATATGGCTCACAGCAATAAGCACTGATGGGGTGATGGCTGTGGTGGTGGTGACTGGAATACAAAGATCCTAAAGTGCCCACAGCAGCTGACTGCTGGGAAGCAGGGAAAGATTACCTCTGCTTCTACATGCAGGACAACTTGTTAGAGAGGAAGAGGAGGAGAAACACGAGGCTTAAATATGGAGGGGCAAGAGACATACTGAGCCAGAGAGAAACTTCTAGTAGTAGAGGGCCACTCTGGACTCTGACACTGTCCCCCAAACAAGCAACAGTGGGTCAAGGAATGCTGTACAGTGCCAGGGGGCAAGACTGCAGGAGCCAGGATGCAAAGCAGTTGGCACTCAGGGCCAGTCAAGCTGAAGGTACAAGCCCACAGGGCCACATGCTGTGCCATGCCCCAACTTACAGAATCCAGCCGTTCTTCCTGGTGCAGAAACTGGGCAATGTCCTCTACGTCTGTTCCCAACATGCCTTGCTCTTGGAGAAACTGGATTCCCCGCTTGGGCTTCTTGTTGAAACTATCAAGAGGAGAGGGGACAGGTCACACAGGTGGCTCATTTAAAGCTCTGGGACAGAGTGAAAGTTATCGGTGATAAAGCAACTGTCCCACAGCTGTCCCAAATTCTACCACCAAGTTTTATCACATTTGTTTACTAATTGTTTACATGTGTGCACATGCGCACACGTGATCAAGTATGGACTCGATCCTCTAGAACCTTCTATCATCAAGCTTAATGGCAAGCACCTTCAACCACAAAGCCATCTCACCAGCCCTGTTCTGGTTTTGTTTTAGCTTTTTTTGAGACAGGATCTCACTTTGCAGCCCAGGATGGCTTCAAATTCACAGAAATCCACTTCCTCTGCCTCTGGAGTGCTGGGATTAAAGGTGTGTGTCACTACACTTGGTCATATATTTTGTTTTTTAAGACGAGGTCCTCACTGCATGACCCTAGCTGGCCTTGAACCCGTGATAACCCTCCTGTCTAAGCCTGGAGCCACAGTAAAACACCACACCTTAGCAGCTCTTAATTTTTGACTCTGCAATTACAGACTGTCAACTAAGTCCCTCTCCCCTCCTTAACAGTAACAGAAACCTGGACACTGAACTGGGCCCAGAACCACCTGGGATACAGGACAGTAGGAACAGAGTTCACGTCACTGGTGAGACAGCAGCAAGTATGGGGACTTCTGACTCAGATAAGAATGTGTCCTCCCTGTCCTCTCCACCTTCTTCTAGCATATGTGTGTGATAGCTGATGCTGCCATAGTCATCTGAGATCACGGATGGGTCACAAATGTCCAGAAGACCCATCATAACAGCCTCAAACTATTGCTCTGGTCCTCCCACCCTCTGCTAAGTAAGTACCAGGCATTCACTGCATACAAAACTAACTAGTGGATAAGTTCAACATTTTGCCAAATCCTGCATGGGAGAGGGACAAACACAAAGAGGCAAAGGCCATGAAGACACAAATGGATAAGGACAGGGAAAATTGGACTTATTTAGTCAGCCTGGCTATGGGAGGCCTCTTTGAGGAAGAAATAGTGCCCCATATCTGAGGGATTAAAGCGAACAAAGAGCACTAAGAGAACAGGAGAGCTCTTCACCATGGTGACCAGGGGACTAAAAACAGGCCATGTGTGCCAGTGCGCTGTCAGGAGATGAGGACAGTGAGGGAGGCCTGAGCAGGATCAGTTCATGGCACAGGACAAGAAGCCTGCAATGACTTTGGCAGGGGAGGGGTGGGGTTTAGCTTATGTTTTCAAGTTCAACTATCACAGACCCTGTTCTGTAGCAGTGAACTCAGTAGAAACTGTTATTTTAGTTGCTATGGGAGGAAAACAAAGCACCCCAGAGATGGTGAGGCAGGAACACAGCAATCAGCACTTCCATTCAAAGCCTGAACTGTTAAACGGAGCTTGCTCATTTTTCAAAGGAAATTGCAGAAGATGATGTGCTAACATGCACAAAAGACCAGGGAGAGACAGAGACTGCACAATTGCCACAAGGATGATGTATGTCACTGTGAGTGGAGAATCAAACATGTGTGAGTCTCAAACATGTGTGCCCAAGTATGGTGATGGTTACACAGCACAAATGTTTCAGAAAAACCTACATATGGTTAAAGCAAACACCCTGGACAACCGCTTTCGGCTCATGAAAGACACAGTGGCTTCTTCTAGGTGCTTTCTGTTTGTTTTGTGATTGTTTTCTGAGACTTTATTTATTGTTATTTTATGTGTATGAGTGTTTTGCCTGTATGTTTATCTGCAAGCCACATGCATGTAGTGTCCCTCAGAGGCCAGAAGAGGGCATAAGACCTGCTGGGATGAGAGTTAACAGATGGTTGTGAGCTGCTATATAGTAAGCACTGAACATTGAATCTGGGTCCTTAACCAAATGAGCCATCTCTCCAGCCTCTGTTTGGTTTTTAGTGGCTTTGTTTTCTCAGAGTTTACACTGCAGCCTAATCTAGCCTTGAATTCAAAGCTATCCTCCTGCCTCAGCCTCTCAAGGTCTGGAGTACAGGCCTATGCTCCTATGCCTGGCTGTTTTCTAAAGTGTTTTTTGTTGTCAGAAAAGGAAGAAAACAAGGCCTCCTGAGCTGCACAAAGCATGTCTCCTCCTCTCAAGTTCAGGAGCTCTCCCCCTGCCTGATAGCCAGCAGGGGGCCCTGTCACAGGAGTCAGCCTCCAGGTCCTAGAGAGGACATGGCTTTGCCAAAAGCCCAGAGAGATGGCACAGCCCAGAAGACACACTCACAGCTCGATGCCATGCTCAATGATCTCCTTCTGTTGTTTGATGACTTCAAACTGCTCTGGGTCATCCTGAATGGTTGTCTGGGTCCCTGAGGACACCGTGGACTCCACTGATGTCACACTGCACCGTCTTGCCATGTCAAGGCCTTTTCCGTCCCCAATTTCTTGATCTGGGAGCCTCTCCTGACCTGTAGTGACATAAAAGCAAACAAAAGCAACTAAGCAGATGAACAGATGTGACTGAGCAGTTCAAGCTTCAGCGCCCTTCCTCAGAACTTCCACAGGTTTGCATCCAAAGGGGCACAGGCACCGAGCCGATCACTTAAATATTTTCCTCAGCATCACATAGACATTTATTTAACATAGGACTCAAACTAATTCTAATATTTACAAGTAAAGAAAAAGCAAAAGCAAGATACTTAATAATAAACATAAGGACTTTCTCTACTCTAAATAATTCAGGAGGAGGGTGCCTATGCAAGCATGGACACAGAATGTAAGAGGACAGGAAGACCCAGTGAAATTCTCTGGAATCAGGCCTGACTCGGAGTGGTAGCAGGAATGAGGTCAGGAATAGAGGCCCAGGTAGGGCCAGGTCATGGCATAGAAGGGGAAGCCTGCAATGTTTTCATGAAACTCCAGTTCCAGAAATCTCACACCCTCTTCTGGCCTTCTTGGGCAGCTGTACTTGTGTGCATATACTCATACACAGACACACATATACATAATTTTTTTTTTCTAAAGTAGGCTACAGAGATGGCTCAGCAGTTAAGAGCACTTACTGCTCTTCCAGAGGATTCAAGTTTGAGTCTTACATCAAATAGCTCACCCCAGTCCAGAGGATCTGGCCTCCTCAGGTACCCATACACATATGGCATACACACATAGAAAACAAAAATAAATCCTTAAAAATAAATAAATAATAAAAGAGATCATTTTGGCTGAGCAGCTCAGTGGTAGATCACTTTACAATTATACATAAGTCTCTAGGTTCAATTTTTTAGAGATTTATTTATTATGCATGCAGTGTTTTGTCTACATGTATCCCCGCAGGCCAGAAGTGGGCACCGGATCTCATTCCAGATGGTTGTGAGCCACCATGTGGTTGTTGGAAATTGAATTCAGGACCTCCGGAAGACCAGCTAGTGTTCTTAACCACTTAGCCATCTCTCCAGCCTGTCTAGGTTCAATCTTCAGTACTAAAAGAGCAAAAAACAAAAACTCTCGCCCTTAAATGCTTTACTCCCTTAAGTCAGAGTATCTTATCACAACTACAGGAAAATAAACACACCCAGCATGCCATATGCATTAAAAAGCACAAGCTTTACAATAACTGCAGGTATTTAGAAAACACAACAACTGTGTGTCACAATCCCTGAACAGCATGTGCCCACAGTGGCAAGCTGCTCACACTCCTCACTCACCCAGGGTAGCCTGATGGTTGGGGTTCACATATAGATCCTTGCTCCATTCCACCATACACTTGAGAATGGACACGAGACACTCCAGGCCTTTCTTCCTCAGACTGAGCTCCTAGAGGCCCAAAGTGAAAGGTACAGAGCCTTAACACATTTTACCACTGGCATTCTGGGGCTCTTGGGCAGTCCTGTGAGGCTACCAGGTAATTACTAACAATCAGTTCTACTACAGACAAAACCCAGGGAACTAATTAACAGCTGACATGTGTCAATGGCACATCAAAAACCCTAGTCATCCCTAATAGGGTCATCACTGTAAGTATTCAAATATTACCTGTGACTCCTAAGTGCAAAGGTTATCTGTATCATTTTAAAATTGTCTTGTGTGCACACATGAACATGTACATATGTGCACACCTGTGGATGCCATTCATCTCCTTGGGTCTCTCATTAGCCTGGAGCTCACTAACTAGACTAGACTAGCTGGTCAGCAAACTCCAGGGATCTGCCTGTCTCCACCTCTATAGCAAGCCATCATGATCAGCTTTCTACATGAGCTCTGGGGATCAACTCTGGTCCTCATACTTTCCAGGCAAGCACTTCACCAACTGAGCATCTCACCATCCTGAGGACCAGAGTTTGGATCTCAGCACCCATTAACAAGCTGGGTGACCAACTCATGCCTGAAACCCTGGCTTTGTTAGGGCCAAGACAAGAGGCTGGCTGAAGATGCTGGGTTCCTGTCTAGCCAAGAAAATAAGGGAGATCTGCCCCCAAAGAATAGGCAGAGTGTGAGGAAGAAAGGAAGGGAGAGAGGAAGGATTGCTCTATTCATTGCTAGTGGAATAAAATACTAGCAAGTAAAACAAAATCTAATACTATTTTAAATAACAAAGTCTTAACCTGTGATCTAAAAAAATCAATTACTTAGCACATGAATAATTCTGGATAGAACATACATCCTGACTACCAACAACTGTATTTCATTTTAATGTACACTATATTAAATAGGGTTTTTGTTTTTTGAGATAGGGTTTCAATATATAGGCCAGGCCTGCTTGGAAATTGCAAACCTCCTGCCTCAGCATCCTGAGTGCTGGAATTAAAGGTCTGTGCCACCATACCTGTCACATAAGTAGAATTTCTTACACTTAAAAAATGAACACAAGTTAAAGATGATCTTGAAGAAAAAGAAAAAGAAAGCCATTATTTTAGGCTCACAACACTTTAGATAGCACAAATCCTCCTGTGGCCCTAAGGACAACTCTGGCTTTCCTCCAGGAAAAAGCCCAGAAGCCAAGGTGCTGTGCATGCCACTCAGGACTGACAGCTGCCTTTCCCTGAGGGTACTCTAATGGGAAAAGCCCTTGACCAGTCAGTCTCCTCTCTGCAGCATGTCACCTGACAACTGACTTTTTCACTGCCATTTTGTGACAGCAGAAGCTGTGTCTGTGTCTTTTGTTCCCTAATGTAGTCCCAAACCCAGTGACAACGGTATGATGTCCCATTATGATGTTTACGTCAATTAGTAACCTTTAAAGACAACCAAGCACCCTGATGTTTTTACCTGTAGAGGTGTCATCCCCAGCTCATGTCCACTTCTTCCCTGAGCGATTTTGGATAAATCATTTACTAGACGCTCGAAAATGTTAGCAGCATTTAAGTCACAGTCATAGTTGACATAAATATCCACAACACACTGGGCATCTTGGAAAATAACATACACATATTAGAAATCTGGATCCAAGACAAACGATGACATTTTCTTTCTTTTTTTTTTATTGTTGTCAGGATGGGTACTGAACCCATGGCTCTATGCATACTAGACAAGGCCAGCAATGCTTTCTTTGCTAAAAATATATTGTGTGAACTTTAGTTCAAGGCAGCCACATCTTAAGTAGGGAATACATGTCAGAAGCGTGGGGGTGGGGTGGTCTACTGTTCTTAGGCCCACCCACCTCTATACTACCTGCTTACAGGCATTCCAATTCCCCTCTATACTACCTGCTTACAGGCATTCCAATTCACCTTGCAAAAGTTCAGCTTCCTCATTAGAAAAGGGGCTAAAAGAGATGGGCTCAAGAGTCACCCAGAAACAGTGTTTGTCTGTCTGCCCAGCTCTGGGATGGCAGAAGAACCATTTAAATTTACCTCAGGCCCAGCAGACAGCAGCACCAAAACCAATCTGCCATGATTAGTAAGTTTCTGGTATTTATAAAACTTGGCTCTAACATCAAAGTCCCCACCAGCACACCAGCCTGAGCCAGTCATCCTACAAGAGGTGAGATGGGCCTTTTTCAGTCACTGTGAATGAACATTTTTTAGAAAAGATTACAAAAGTATGGATTTTGCTGGTGGTAATTGTGCATGTCTTTAATCCCAGCACTTGGGAGGCAGAGGAAAGTGGATCTCTTAATTCAAGCCTAACCTGGTCTACAGAGTGAGTTCTAGGACAGTCGGGGGCTACACCAAGAAACACTGCCTTGGAAACCCACCACCCCAAAATATTTTCTTAATTCAGTTTTTCAAAACTATGTGTAATCTGGGTATGGTGGTACACACTTTAAACCCCAGCACTAAGGAAGCAGAGGCAGGGGGCTCTCTATGAGTTTGAGGTCAGCCTGGGCTACATAGTAAGACTCTGTCTCAAAAAAAAAAAAAAAAAAAAGTCTATGACGGTTTGAAGGTTTATGCACATGGGTACAGTGCCTAAAGGTGCCAGAAGAGGGTGTCAGATCCCTTGGAGCTAGAATTGATAGGCAGTTGTGAGCCACCTGATGTGGGTGTTGGAAACCAAACTTGGGTCCTCTACAAAAGCAGAATGGACTCTTAACAGCTGAGCCATCACTCCAGCCCTGTGAATGAACTCTTTAATGAAAAGATTTTCTCAATCATTCACTAAAACACTACAAAGAGGAACTGAAGATCTTGATTTGAGCTTGGCAGACAAAAGCTTTGGAAGCTGGTGAACGTACCTGCACAAATCCTTGTCAGGGTCTGAATGACCATCCAGCGGTGTTCGAAAGAACTTGTAGATGTTTCTAAAATGTTCAGGAAAATCTCTTTGAAAAAGACCTGTGTGGCATGAAGACAAGGGAGGAGCAATGAGCAGTCTCCACTTAGCATTCCAGATGCAAACACTTTAGGGCCAGGCAGCTCATACACTAAGTGAGGAGGCCTGGGCAGAAGGCAAAGCAGGATGCACACTTGCTAAGGGACATGGGAGCCCAGCCTAGTTGGTCGACAGTTAGCAGGGGCTTACCCAGAGCTGAGGAGCCAGTACAGGACCCACATGTGTTGATTTGAGAAAAATCAGAAATTTGTATCTGTGCATCTGACAACTAATTTAAATTATTTCAAACAATTTGAGCCCAGACAGGCAGTGAGGGTGGGGGGTGGGGTCTGAGCTGAGGACACAGACCAAGACCTTAAATCTCTGGTGAACAGAATTTTTCTGACAAGGTCTTTCCCACTCATTCAGAAGTTCACTGGGGGAGGGGGGGTAGCTAGTAAAAGGAGTACCTTAGTATGGTAGCAAGGCTTTTTTTTTTTTTTTTTTTTTTTTTTTAAATACAGGGTCTCATGTAGCCCAGGCTGGTACCCTAAGCTGTCCTTGACCTCCTAACTACTCTGTTTCTAGCTCATAAGAGTTAGGATTACAGGCATGTGTCATGCTTGACTGACAAGTAGGCTTCTCATCTGGCATTAATGTCCCCAAATAAACACTAACTGAAGTACTGTACCTCTATCTGCATTTTCAAGTGCATCTTGAAGTTTGAAAGAAGAGTAAGAAAAATAGCAAGTGAGAGCTCGAAGACATCAGGCACTGAGGACACGCCATTCTTGGATAGGGCCACACACAGGTACTGCTTAATGGCAGTGACAAACATCTCATGGCTCCTGAAGACTGGGCCAGCATTCTGCAGCACGGACAGCAACAGCTGCAGGGAAACCACCTTGGAACGAAGCTCGTGAGATCTGCGAAGGCAACGAAAGAGTGATGGCATGCTAGTAGGTGGAGTGCCAGGCAGCAGGGTTCTTTTCATTTGCTTTGAGACAGGATCTCACTGTGCATAGCTGACCTGGAACTTGTGATCTTGCCTCTGCCTGCCAAATACTGGGCACAGACCAAAACAGTATGTTTCTTGAAAAGCCTTTGATCTTTACCGAGGATGACTTTAACTCCTGACTTTCCTGCCTCTGCCTCCCAAGGACCACAATACAGGAATGCATACCATGTCCAGTCAAGCAGAATCTCCTGAGGCCAATGATTTAAGAGTTAGAAACAAGCCAGGTGGTGGTGGTGCACACCTTTAATCCCAGCACTGGGGAGGCAGAGGCAGGCAGATCTCTGTGAGTTTGAGACCACAATGGTCTACAAGATACAAGAGCTAGTTCCAGGACAGCCTCCAAAGCCACAGAGAAACCCTGTCTTGAAAAAAACAAAACAAAACAAAACAAAACAAAAAAAGAGTTAGAAACAGCACCTACATGCCAACAAGATGCGGGCACAGAGCACAAGATGGGCCCCTCCTTTTTTTCTGTTCCCAATATAACGTGGATAATGGGCAAGAACAAGGAGTTGAGTCTGGAGAGCCAGCTCTAGGCTGGATCCATGCAATTATCTCACAATATTCTCCTGGAGATTTAGTGCCATACTTTCACTCTCTACGTGCCATGAAGACTGGACTGTGATAACACTGTCAACCTCACAGGATCTAGAATCACCTAAGAGATAAGCCTCTGAGCCTGACAGTGAAGGTTCATGGAGGAAGTGGCCTGATGACCTGAGTTCAATCCCTGGAATTCATGCAAAGGTGGAGGAGAGGAAATGACTCCACAAATCTTTCCAATTATTTCCACAAGTGCACACCACACACAACTATGGTCATAATAAAGTTTAAAAAAATGGAAAACACTCATTTAGCCATTTTCCTAATTGTTGCCACGATGCTTGAAAATGAAGAGCAGTCAGGACAGCACCACCCTGTACTTCAGACAGACAGAGCCATCTCATTTCACTGTCAGTTTTCAAATGCAGTCCTGGAGCTGCCCTGGACTGAAGCACATAAGATCTGAAATAGTACTCTGGCTCTAAATGCAGCCAGTTTTCTTCTCTCCACAGTACAGACACTGTGGGCCAGCTACTGCACTGTGGAGAGAGGCACTGGGCTCTGGGCTTCAATCTTTGTTCACGAGCTGAGATTTCCCTCCAGGGCCGGAAATGGAGTTTGCAGACATCTTGTCCCTTTACAGCCTTACAAGGAGATTAAGCCCATTAGTCAGTAAAAAGACAGCATGAAGTCCATGCTGTTTTCAACATACAAACCAAGAGTAAATCCAGGCAAGAGTCTAGATAGTGAAGACATGGAAGGCTGTGGGTGTAGGACTGCTTGAGTCTGGAAAGCTGTGAAACCATCCCACACCAACATTATGGGGACGGGGATGGGTGGGGGGGACGACAAAAATCAGAACACAAACTCCCAGTTCATGGGGTAGCAGATGGCCATAGCTGCTGCAAGCTTACTTTGGATCTGGGGGTCCTTCCCCAAGAGGTTTCATGGACAGCTTGCACAGGGAGCGGAACACCAGGAAGGCGTCCTTCTGTAGAATGTGAGAGAACCTAGCAGCCACTTGATGTCCTTGCACATCTGGTTCCTAAGGTTAGAAACAAAGAGAAATCCAAGAAGAAAAGGAATTATGTCATGAAAACCTAAATTCCTGAATTTATTCAACTGAGAGTTGGGTGAGAAGACACAAAATAGATGCCCCATTGTGTCTTCAGAGCAATTGTAACCCTGTCTGTGAGAGGCCAGGTGTAGACACACACCTGTCATCCCAGCATTGGGAATGGAGTGCAAGGTCCTACTCAGTTACACAGTGAGTTGGAGCTCATTGCAGGTTGTTTAAGAACCTGTCTCGAGGACTGGAAAGCTGGCTCAGAGGTTAAAAGCATTGGCTGCTCTTCCAGAGGTACTGAGTTCAATTCCCAGCATCCACATGGTGGCTCACAGCCATCTGTAATGAGATCTGGTGCCCTCTTCTGGCCTGCGGGGATACGTGCAGGAGGAATGATGTATACATGATAATAAACCTTTTTAAAAAACTGTCTCAAATAAATAAACAAACAAAAAACAACAGCCAGGCAGTTGAGGCACATGCCTTTAATCCCAGCACTCAGGAGGCAGAAGCAGATCTATGAGTTCAAAGCCAGCCTGAACTAAAGAACCAGTTCTAGGGACATCCTGGGCTACACAGAGAAACCATGTCTTGAAAACAAACACAACAGCCAGGTGTTGGTGACACACACCTTTAATCCCAGCACTAAGGAGGCAGAGGCAGGCCGATCTCTGTGAGTTTGAGGCCAGCCTGGTCTACAGAACTAGTTCCAGGACAGTTTGTAAAGCAATACAGAGAAACCCTGTCTCACAAAAAAAAAAAAAAAAAAAAAGGAAACAAAACAAAAACCCCCACAGAGGCCAGCAAGATGGTTCAAAGGGTAAGAGTGTTTGCCATTCAAGCCTGACAAACTGATCTGGAACCCACGTAAAAGAGATCTCTTACATGTGTGCCATGGCACCCAATTCCAAAAAATATACATTTCTCTCTCTCTCTCAAGGAAGAAAGGCAATGGTGGCAATGTCTTTAATCCTAGAACTCAGGAGGCAGAGATAGATGGAGGCCAGCCTGGCAGGGCAGCCAGAGCTATACAAAGAAATCCTGGTTGGGGGAGAAGGGAGGAAAAGGAAAAAAGAAAGATATTTGTAAGAATTCTGAAGCAGAGTGATTGGGAAAAAATGACATACATTTCAAAATCAACTAAAAAATATTACATTTAGCTGGGCAGTGTTGGTGCATGCCTTTAGTGCCAGCACTTGGGAGGCAGAGGCAGTGGATATCTGTGAATTAGAAACCAGCCTGGTCTACAGAGTGAGTTCCAGGACAGGCTCCAAAGCCACACTGTCTTGAAAAACAAACATACAAAAACAAAACAAAACAAAATTTAGCCAGGTGTGGTGGTGCACACCTTTTATCCCAGCATTCAGAGGCAGGCCAATCTCTGTCACTTTGAGGCTAGCCTGATCTACAGTAAATTCCACAACAGCCAGGGATATCAGACCTTGCCTCAAAAAGCAAATAAGTAAATAAATAAATACATTTAGGAGATAGAGAGAGAGGTGGCTCATTGGTTAAGAGAACTTGGTACTTTTCTAGAGGACTAGGGTTCAATTCCCAGAACCAACATGGAGGTTCACACAGAGGTGCCCTCTTCTGCCCTTCCCAGGCACCAGGCATGCTCATGGGTTCAGACATTCATGTAGGAAAAATACTCATACACATAAAATTAGATTTTAAATAATTACATTTAAGCATAATAAATATTTACAACATATAACAAAGATCAATATCCTTTACACAAAAAGATTCTTAAAATCAATTAAGGAAATATATAAACCCCCCTCCCAAATGACATGAGTAAGTAATCACTAAGAAAGCCAAATATAGGTCTGGAGAGATGGCTCAGAGGTTAAAAGCACTGGTTGCTCTTCCAGAGTTCCTGAGTTCAATTCCCAGCAATCACATGGTGGCTCACAACCATCTATAGTGAGAGCTGGTGCCCTTCTGGCTTGTAGAAGGAATACTGTGTACATAATAAATAAATGTGTGTGTGTGTGTATGTGTGTGTGTGTGTGTGTGTGTGTGTGTGTGTGAGAGAGAGAGAGAGAGAGAGAGAGAGAGAGAGAGAGAGAGAGAGAGAGAGAGAGCCAAATATAAACTAAACCTGCCAGGTGTGGGGTCACATGCCTTTAATGCCAGCCCAGGCAGAGGCAGACAGACTCTGTGAGTTTGAGGCCTGCCTGGTCTACAAAGTGAGTTATAAGTGTTACAGAAAAAGGGAGGGAGGGAGAGAGGGAGGGAGGACTAGGGATACATATGCATATAAGAGGCTGAGGCAGACAGAGGCAGACAGATCTCTGTGAGTGCAAGGCTAGCCTATATAGTGACAGCTGCCTCCCCCCCCCCCCAAACAGTTCAGTTCAGTAGTGATGGTGTTTATAAGCAACATTAGAAAAGATAACTCTGCTTTACAGAGTACAAGGCCAGGTCTGTGTAACCAACACCTGCAGGGTCTTCTTGCATAGCCACTTCTCTGACAGAGATCTAATTCTGCATCTTCTAAAAGCATGCAAATGGAAAGGTGTTCATATGGGATAAGATGTGAAATGACATACCAGATTGTCTGCTGAGGACAGTGACTGCCTGTCGTCGGCTATGCCATTGGTCTGTGAGTTTTCATCAACTCCTGGGTGAACAGCGTATTCCTGGTACTCTGGGGCACCCAGGACTCGGTCCGGCTCCGTCAGACCATGCTTTTCTGCTGCTTCTTAAGACATAAGTGCAGAGTCACTGCCCAGTGAATGTACCCCAAAAGGCTGCCTGAACCAGACTCGGCACTGCACACCCCTTCTTTCCCAGCCCCCACAACACAGTGGTGCTTAGGCTTCCGGCCTGACTCTCATCCACAATGTCCCTGCTGGGGCCACAGCAGTGCATAACGCCCCAAAGGGGTCTACTCACAACACTTGCAAAGCTGTGAGATGCAGCAGCCCTGCCCACCCATCCACTTCCAAAAAAGACTGGAAGTAGCAAAACAGGAAAACCTAGGTTTTATTTAAAGGGCTAGGGTTAGTAACACAAGAATTAAGACACAGTTAAAAAAATAAAAATAAAAAACAAAATAAAACTCAGTTACAAGGAAAAACAGACCTGAGCTTCCTAAAAACCATGTAAAAAGCAGAAATTACACAAATTTCATCATTAAGTTAAAGAAAACATATCTGATACTGAGAAAAACAATGAAGGAGGAATCTATTACATATCTCTTCATATACGCATGAGACACTGAAGAACGCAATATAAGCAGTCTTCAAAATATGTTTTTCTGTTTTGTATTGTTTGCTTGTTTTTTGAGGCAAGTTTGTATAACAGCCCTAGCTGTCCTGGAACTCACTGTGTAGACCAGGCTGACTTAGAACTCAGAGATTCACCTGCCTCCTGAGTGCTGAGATTAAAGGCGTGTGCCATCACACCCAGCTTCGAAATGTTTCTCTAAATATTTTAAAATTATATTTATTTATTGTGTGTGTGTGTGTGTGTGTGTGTGTGTGTGTGTGTGGGTGTGTGTGTGTGTGTGTGGCACAGAGGACAACTTGTTGGAGTCAGCCCTCTCCTTCCATCACATGGGTCTCAGGGACTGAATTCAAGTTCCCAGGTTTGGTGGCAGATATACTTTTTCCTGCTAAGTGATCTCAATGGCCAGCAATAATTTTAAGAATATTTATTTACTTGACATGTTACTGAGACAGTGCTACTATGTGACAGGCTGAGGTGTGACAAGGCAAATATGAACTGTTTGATGGGTGATGGGAGCCACTGTTGCTCTTTAAAGGTCTTGTTACAGAGCTAAACAAGTGCTGGGCTTTCTGGAGAGCCTGCCTGCACCCTAGTTAACCAACAGAAGGCTCAGAGATGTGGCTTTCCAACTATGACATTAGGCTAGGATGTAACTCAGTGGCAATAACTCCCAAGTATGAAGTATAGGCATGGGTTACTAGGCTCATATAGAAATGAATGTAAACCATGTCCCAGTGTGGACATGTACATATAAAGAACTGCAAAATTTTATGAAAAAGAATGAACATTTCCATGCTTCATGTACTCAAGTACATAACCATTTGTGTTCTACTATGTCTTCCATTTTTAAAAAATGCTGACTGCAACCTGCTACCATTTTTATAAATTTCTTGTCCAATTAATGGCACTTGAACAGTGTTCAACATGCAGCCACTGGCTGAATTTTGAGCAAAGACAAAGGACACAGCATCAAGGCTGGCTCTATAAGCTGACCAGCACTGAGTGCACCATGGAGGCTCCCAACAAGCACCATCTCCCTGCGTGCCTGATACCCACTGCTGTGTGGACTGCACAAAAAAATGTCTGATGCAAAAGACATATGGAGTGTCCCCAGGTAGAGCATCTAATATTCCCACTGTAGAACACGGCCCTCACCTCAACCTAGAGAACAGAACCACTGTGACAGATCACAGCTGTGTGCCAAGTGTAGGCTGGGAAGCAACCATAACTCAGTTTCCAAGAGCTCCATGAGTTCACAGAGAACTCCCACCCAGATGCTGCCTGAGGGGCTCCACAAAGAGGCATGAGGACAAGCAGGCTGCCCACTCACCTTTCACAGCAGACGTAACCACATCCTCTAAGATGTCCTTCACCACCTCCTGGGCTCCATCGTCAGTGCCTACACACATCACAAACACAAACACACAGGGTGTTTCCAGGGAAAAGGAAAAGGAAGGAAGGATGAGGAGACTATGGCAATGGCCTTCTGAAGTCCTGCTCTAGAGAGCAGAGGTGCAAATGTGCCCCCTCCACCTCCATCCACCAGTGGAGAGGACCCCTCAGTTGCAGAACCTAAGGGAAGGATCTGCTTGGATTTTAAGGCTCACTCTCAAAGAGCACCAAAACCCTGCCCATCCTCTCCTCCTCTCCGAAACCCAGCTGCTAAGCCCAGGCCATTCCACCCCCACCCAGCTGTCTCACATTCTGGCAGAACCAAGGATGGACTGCTCTGTGCCTGCACCAAGCTCCTGACCATGGAGATCCGGCAAGTGTCTTGTTGGGCTCCCCGAATCAAGCCTGCCTAGAATTTACCATGAGCTTCCTAACATGACACTTGAGGATTGACAACATTTCAGATGAAATTATTCTGTCAAATGGCAAATGTTTAAGTGGGAAAGGTCCAATATGTCTAACTATTAATCCCTTATTTTGTAGGAAATTAGTCACAGAGAAGACTTTATAGAGTGAGCAGCTCTCACCAGAATGTGGAAGCGATAGCACTGGTTAGAAAACGCCACACTGAGCAAAAGGCATCACCCTGAATGAACAACAGCAAAGAGTCCTCCTCAGTGGGGACTCTCAGCCAGACCTGGGCTTGGCCTTTGAGGTTCTGGGGAATAGAGCTAAGCATTTTCATTTCCAATTATCCCTGAACACCATAAACAAATCCACTCGTGTGAGATTACTGACATCACATCCTTTTCTTGAAGGGCAAAAAAGAACCTGAATGGAAACTGAGAAACGACCCAGCCACAACCAAAATCTTCTAAATTAATTTCTTTACTTCAAGGCCATAATTAGACTGGACTACAGTTACCCAACCTCTGTTTGCGTTTTCACACCATCCTGCAAGACTTCTGCTCCATTCATGCTCTACTTACATCATCATACATGCAGTGGCATTCAATTTACCTTAAACAATGGAACCCACAGACATCAGTGTAAGAGGCGCTAATTACACTGTAGCAATACATGTTAGAATACAAACAGCTCATTTACCACCCATATAATCATGGTGTACCATGAACTGTAAGCATTAAGGCTAGATACTTCAGAACTAGCTTTTCCCCCTTCTGGTACTGGGCCTCACATATTGGATAAATGCTCTACTAGGGAGCTCCACTCCAGCCCATGACTAGGTATTTCTCAGTTCCTGTTTACTTCCAACACGCTGATACTATGACCATAAAATTATGATGATCATTTCTAATCCTTACTGTCTGCTACAAAGCACCTTGTTCACATTCAACCCCAAGAGACATGGAGTCATGTTATCAGAGGCTCGGGTGGCTCAGTGTGATCAGAGGCCATAAAGTGATGGCTGACATAGGCAAGCTTGCAGGTGTGTGTTGTTTACCTGCAAACTGCTCATAAAACCTTTGAAACAGCGGCTAATAACTGTTAACTGAAAGATTGTTCAGTAAGTAACACATGTGACTTCTATGAAAAGACCTGAAGCCAAAGCCAGATGGTGGTGGAGCACGCCTGTAATCCAAGCACTCAGGAGACAGAGGTAGGTGGATCTCTGTAAGTTCTAGGCCAGCCTGGTCTACAGAGTGAGTTCCTGGTCTACAGAGTGAGACAGCTAGAGGTGTTACAGAGAAACCCTGTCTAGAAAACAAAGAAACAAAAACCCCGAAGCCAGGCCAAGCACATCTTTAATCCCAGTATTCAGTAGACAGAGGTAGGTTGATCCCCGTGAGTTTGAGGACAGCAGGGCTACATAGTGAGACCCAGTCTCAGGAAGAAGAGAGACAAACAGACAGAGAGACAGAAAGATAGAGACAGAGAGAGACCCACCTTGTCTCAAAACAAATAATAGTAAAAAACATCTCTGAAACCAGTCCTGGGAGGGAGGTGGGTAGGCCGCAGCACTAACTACAGGAAAGTGTAAAGCAGAAAGGTTGCAAGTTAAGGACCTGATAATTCTAGCACCTGAAGGACAGAAGCAGATGGATCTCTGTGGGTTCCAGGCCAGCCTGGTCTACATAATAGGTGCCAGGGCAGCCAGAGCTAAAAAGTAATACTATGTCCAAAAAAGGAGGAAGAGGGGAAGGTAGTGGTGGTAGAAAATAAAAAGAAAACAGCTCTTTTAAAACAGACTAGAGAGAACTGTTTCACACAAAAGTAGATTCAATAGGGGCCCAAAATGAAGACGCTGGAGATGGTGTGCTTGGTCCGCTTCCCAGTGTGGGGATTTAAGTCCCTCAGGTTCCCAAGCCTCCATCCTTACCTGTAAACCCTGAATGAGTGTGCAGGGAGAAGGCATTCATGATCTCCTAAGGAGGACTGCTCATTCCTGCCACCTCTCTGGTCCCAGAGACTAACTCCATAATGAAAAATTCCAATTAACCAAACAGAAAGCACTTCCAATTAGCTAAAGCCTTCACTGTTTTTCATTTCCAAAGGAGCAATAAAATTTCCACATCAACATGGACTTCTCTTTCCTCATTGCAGACTTTCCACTTAAATAGCCGCAGGATTGCCCTTCTCTGAGTCCTCCTGCCATCCTTTCCTACAGCAGACTGGCAAGGGTACGTACAGGCTGGACCTGTAATTGCACCCATGCAAACAACAGTTGGCTCTGTATCTGTGGGCTCCACAACCATGGATGCAATGAACAGCAGACTGGGAATCCTCACGGAAAACACTTCTGTACTAACATGCAGAGATACCCTCACCATCATCACTGCCAAAACAACACAGTTCACCATCTGCACAGCACTGACTTGTACAGGCTAGCCTGATTCACTACGAAGAGAGTCAAGCTAACACGAACAGAAGGATGCCACACGATGCTCTTCATCACCATGATGGACAGCAAGAAGGCCACCACCAGATGAGTAGACTTCACCCCTTGCCCTTGGCCCAGGACTGTAAGTAAAAATAAAAAAGAAGTGAGGTAATGGTTGCATCATCAGTCATGTGACTGAAGCAGAGATGAGATCTGCTGACAAGATAGGTCAGATATACTATATAGAGCAAAGGACGTGGGTGAAAAATTAGAAACTACCAGGAAAGACAAGGTCTTAAAAGCCAAAGACCTTTGGATCTGGTTCAGACCTGGAGATGAAAGCCAGGTGGTGGTGGCACATGCCTATAATTCCAGCATTTGGGAGGCAGAGACAGGAGGATCTCTGTAAGTTCAAGGCCAGCTTGGTCTACAGAGCAAGCTCCAGGATAGTCTCCAAAGCTATAGAGAAACCCTGCCTCGAAAAAAACAACAAAAACAGAAAGAAAAAGGAGATGCAGATATTCCCAAATCATCATCATTTTATGCTTAAATCATTTACTGTTTGATTATAAACAGGTCTGGAGTGTTATTTTGTTTTGTTTTTTCTTTTTCTTTTTATATATAAGTGTTCTGCATATATAACTGCATGCCAGAAGAGAGCATCAAGTCCTATTAAGACGGTTGTGAGCTGCCATGTGGGTGCTGGGAACTGAACACAGGACCTCTGGAAGAGCAGCCAGTGCTCTTAACTGCTGAGCCATCTCTCCAACCCCTATTTTGTTTTAATATGGAAACAAAGGGCCAATAAGATGGCTCACCAAGTAAGAGTGCCTACTGTCAAGCCTGACTTCATGAGTTCTATCCTCAGGAGAGAACTGACTCCCACGAGTTGTAGTCTAATCTCTGTGGGTACCCTGTGACACATGCATATCCACACTCATACTCAAGCATACACAAACAAACTTAAAAAGATTTTAAGCAAACAAACAAACAAACAAAAACACCAATTGAGTTTTGTTTGACTAGAAGACAATAAAGCTGTCTCTATGCCATTGACCTGTCTGTTCACGTGCCTGCCCATCTGGTGCTCTGTCTCCTCACAGCGGCTATGCATGGTACCAGACTGCCAAGTACTAACTAGTCACCTAGTTAACTTCCTGTGGATATCAAGTGCCCCAGACTGCACTTCTGTGCTAAGGGTGATGGGAGCAGCCGAGGGCAGCGAGGGCAGTTCCATTCCAGGACTTCCATCAGGCCTCACTGGCTGTATCCTACATAGCAAGAGAAAAGGGAGGCCAAGAAAAGGCCTAGAATGGACAAGCTGTCCCCAGGGGTTTCCTTAACTGCTAGCTCACACTTTCCAATGTGTCCCACAGCACCAGGAAGATGCCCTCTCACCTCTGGAAGGCTCGGCCGATCCAGAGAGTGACGAGCTTCTTTCTCGGAGAGCCTCTCCATTTTCTGAGCTCACTTTTCCTAGGCCACTCCTGGCATGATCACCGTTGGGCAATTCTGTTTTTTCAGGAGTTGTTGGTTTGCTCTGGGCCTGGTTCTGCTTCAATTGGCTGAATTTGGGAGATCCTGCTGTAGCCTGGATCACAGGGGACTGAGGTTTAGACTGGATTGGTTTTTCCAATTCTCTGGTCTCCTGTAACTAAAACACAATACAGAAGGATTCATCTACATGGTTCTGGCATTTTAGTAAGAAACAAAAATTACAGCAGACTATTGTTTTAAAATTTTTTCAACCAGTTAATACAAATTTTGTGCTGTTTTCCTGGGTGCTGGGGTTAAACCTAGGGCCCTGTGTATACTAGGGAAGGGTTCTACCGCTAAGCTGTATTCCCAGCCCAGTATAAAGTTTTTAATAGGAAGCTAACTTAGAATGTGATGAGCAAATTTCTAAAGTCATGCTCCAGTTGCCCTTGGTTTTAAAACTGGAAGTCTCAGGAAAGGATAAACTTTCAAGGGCCAGTGGCCAGCCCAGCTGTCACTCACCACTTGGTTTTCCATGCGGGTAAAGATGACATTCAGCATCTGCGTAAGCGTGGCCTTGGCAGTGGTCTGATTGATGAGGTTCTTGCTGGCCAGATAGATGTTGTAGCATGTCCTTACTGTCTGCAGGATCGTGCCCTCATGGATTTCAATGTGTGGGGAAGTCACAGCAGTCAGCAGAGCCTGAGACATAGTACAAATGGTCACTGTCCAGAATGCCCATATCCCCCCTGGCCAAAATTTTCTAGAATACTTGAGGTGTACTGAAACTTGTTATATACAGGCTGGCCTCAAGCTTTTAGCAACCCTCCTGCCTCTCTGTGCCCCAAGTGCTAAGATCACATATGTGCATCAATGCACCCAGCCTGATTTTTCTAAATTTTCACATGGTCCTGCAAAATAATCTGGATGATGAGTACCCTGAGCCAACTTCCTATTGTTTGGGGTTTAAAAAGCAATTGCTAATTCTAAAATTCACATCATTTGAAGGTGTTCTAGTGGCAAGTTAAAAAAAAAAATTTATTTTAAATGCTGGGCAGAAGTGGCTCACACCTGGAATCTGAGTATTCTGGAGGCAGTGGCAAGAGGATCTCTTAGAGGCCAGCCTGGTCTACAGAATGAGTTCCAGCACAGCCATGACTACACAGAGAAACCCTGTTTTGAAAAACAAAAATTATATACAACCAAACAAACAAAAATTAAAAAAAAATCCTGAAAATTCTTAATATTGATATTGGTTGAAAAAAAAACCTAAAATGCAAACTAGATCCTTCCCCTACAAAAATGCACTCTGTGACTTCACCCACAGGAATCATGAATACCACCCAGTTTCCTACTGGGTTCAAAAAGTTTTAAGAGTGTACTCCCATACTGCTGAGATACTTGGGACCTAAGATGTGGAAGGATGCCCTCACCCACCCCCCTCATCCCCTGACACACTGGTGGCACCAGCTCATGTCAAAGCTTTCCCGACAGTAAACATGGGCTAGGGAAGAAGAGCTGGGAAGACGAGAGAGGCAGGAGCAGGTGCAGGCTTTAAGAGTGCCAGTGAAGACTTACAGAGCAATAGATGCTGGGGCCCACACTCTCCAGAGAATCTCAAGCAGATGAGCACTCACTGTTGGTGGCACTGTTTGCTAGGGACACACCTGATCCTACTCCTCTGCGCTTGTTGCACACTCATAAATCATGCTGCTAACAGAAGTTCTAAGTAACACTTCAACATCACCCAATTTAATTTACCAACACATGGCAAATTAAAACCCCACGTTCCCAAACCCAGATCATGCAAACAGAAGTACCTTAATTATTTGTAACTGAACCCCTTCATCTGTCTGAGGGCCCTGAAAACAATTGCAAATGGTTTCAACAATCCTGTCAATCAGCCGCTTCCCAGGAGCTCCACTGTCAGGGGCGTTGCCAGTGATGTGCCCATACGCAATGAGTTTCTGCACAAAGAAAAAGCAAAGGTTACAAGCTTCTGCCTAGCTAGACAAGGCAGGAGGGATGTTGGCCTTGAACCCCTGGTTCCTATGGCAGCAGTTGCTCTGCTCCCAGGAGCCAGGCAAGCACAGCTGTTCTGGGTACAACCTTCAGCCATCTCCCAGTAGATGGGCTGCCTTTCAGAGGATACCTGCCTGTGCCACTTTATACCAACCTGGACCTCGAGACAAAGGTCAGGGTGAGCTCTACAGCTGGCTGAGATTCACAGTCAGCCAGAGGGGCTGGTAAAATCTCAGTCAGTCTCCTGGACCTCAACCCAGACCTACTGAATTGGAAGTTAAAAGGCAGAAGCATAGAACCTGTTTTTTTCTCAACTATACAGGTGACTCTAGAGGTCATCCCGACAATGTAAGCCTAGACTTTAAGGCACACTGTGCTTCCAGGGAGCAGGTAAGGGTGTTGTTCTGTTATGTAGTTATCCTTCCTGCCTTTGCCTACACAGGTAGACAAATGGTCCTGAGGTTGCCCACAGAGCCACCACCATGGTAGTAGGACAGTGGCCACCCTGCAGAGACTTGCAACATTTCTGAATGGCTTTCTCCACCACTAGCTACAAAGCACCTTCATTCAATAAGCATAAAGAGATTAAGAGTGGGTTAAGCGGTGCACGCACTCTGGAGGAAGAGGCAAGAGGATCTGAGTTTGAGGCCAGCCTGGTCTACAGAGTGAGTTCCAGGACAGCCAAGGGTACACAGAGAAACCCTGGAGATAGATAGATAGATAGATAGATAGATAGATAGATAGATAGATAGATAGATAGATAGATAGATTGATTTAAAGCAGAAACAGTACACAATGGAGTGACAGAAGGAACAGACTGCCTGCCCCTTTTGCTGCTCAAGCCCAATTCTGGGGCCGGAAGGAAACAGATAGAATGGAGGACAAGCCAGAACTGTTCACTCCACTCTGACCTGCTGCTGCTGGGCAGGCTCCTGGGGGGGTTGGGGCTTTCGGTGGACAAGCGCCAAGTTATGACACTGCTTCTCCCTCCTGACATTAGGATTCTAGTGCCTTGAGCACTAGAAGCCCCAAAATACCAATGTTGGAAAAGAGATTTCCTGGGACCAGAAAGCAGCTTGCTGCTTCAGAATCACACCTGGGTTCCATCCCAAGCACCAAAAAACGAGAAAATGGCCTTTCTGTTGAACATGGTTTTACAGGCTTGTAATCGCAGCACTTGGAAACTGAAGCAAGACGACTATGAATTTGATGCTAGCCTAGTCTACATAGCAAGAATTTGTCTTAAAACCAAAAAAGGGCCAGGTGTGGTGGTCTCTTGCTTTGAATCCCAGCACCTGGAAGGCAGAAGCAGGCAGATCTCTGGTCTATGTAGCAAGTCCCATGCCAACCAGGAATAGATAATGAGATCCTGTCTCAGAAATAATAATATTAAATAATTCACTTTAATTGAGGGCTGGGGAAATAGTTTTGTCATTAAGTGCTTGCCATACAAGCATGAAGACCTGAATTGATCCCTAGCAAAAAAAAAAAAAAAAAAAAAAGGCCAAGTATAATGTTGATATGCCCTTGTAATTCCAGTGCCAGGAGGTGGAAATAGGCAGACCCCTGAAGCTTGCTGGTTTGACAGCCTAATCTTATTACTGAGTCCCAGCTGCCAGAGAGAAATCCTGTCTCAATAATCAAAGTAGACCACTCCTGAAGAACAACACCAGGCTCATCTCCCGCTTCTACATGTACCCAATACATGTTCATACCCCACCATGAGCACACACAACAAAAGGAGCTAAAATACAACATATGTGATATAAATAGGACAACCCAGGCCAATCATTTCCTTATAGGTTTCATTGGGATTTAAAGAAAATGACACTCTGTTTTTTCCTTTTGAGACAAAGACTTAAATATACCACATCTTGAACTTCTGATCCTCTGGCCTCTATCTCCTGAGTGCTGGGATTACAGGTCTGCATCACCATGCCCATTCTATGATGTGCTGGAGGATGAATCCAGGATCTCATGTAAGTTAGACAAGCACTCTACCAGCTGTCATATCCTAGCACTAACTTTGTATATAATTTTTAAAAAATCATTTATTGCTCAGGCGATGGTGGCACATATCTTTAATCCCAGCAGAGACAGCCTGATCTACATAGTTTCAGGACAGCCAGGGCTGACAGAAATCCTGTCTTGGAAAAAAAATGATTTATTATTATCTTTTATGTGTTTTGCCTACATGAATGTCTGTGTACCATGTACATGCCTGGTACCTGTGGAGGTCAGAAGAGGGCATCAGATCACCTAGAACTGGAGTTACAGATAGTTTGAGTCACCATATAGGTGCTGGGAACTGAACCTGGGTCCTCTGGAAGAGCAGCCAGTGCGCTTAACCACTGAGCCATCTCTCCAGCCCCATTGCTGTTGCTTTTGAGAAAGAGTCTTACTGTGTAGTCCTATCTGGCTTCCATCTCACAGAATCCCACCTGTCTCTGCCTCTACATATGACTTGTATTTAATTTTTTATCTTGACTTTATAAAAGTTCTATTTTTGCATGTTTATAATGAACAAAGTTCTGTAATAGTATATATAATGTTAAGTTAAAATATATTGAAACATATTCCAAAAATTATTAATATAGAAAATATATATATAGAAAATTAATATAGAAAAACATTAGCTTCCCTGCTCTAGGGCAGTGTGGGCCACCAAGTGCTAGAGGGACAGCGCACAGGACTCCTAGTTATTGCAGAAGCTGCAGCAGGCAAGTTGCTAGGCTTAGCCCAGCAGGGATGAGCATCTGTGCCAACTGTGCTCATCACAGAGCACACCCTAAAGTACCTTTGTCCCCGGCACCTCTCCAAAATAAATGAATGACAAGGCACAGCGTAGGTGACTTCAGCTGGTTTCACTTCTCTCAAAATCAGACTTCAGCCCTAGATTCTGGCCTTTGGTTTCCAGGATATAAGTTTCCTCAACTGCCAGGAAATTCCAGTCAAGCAGGCTTAGCAAGGCAGCAGAGGGTGAGCTCCTTTCCCATTCAGTTTTCCAGGGTGCCCACCCACTGCCTACAGTCATAAAAAGGATAGTGCACTTTATATGCCTTGAATATTAAACAAAGAGACCCCAGTGTACCTACTAACTCACAAGACTTCCATTCAAAAGAACCATATACCGTAAGCCTCAAGACTCCCAGTGAGCTGAAGTGAAACAGATGCCAAGGAGTTTAAAATCACATACATGGAGTTCCAGGAACTGAAAAGGCCCAGTCACAGGTGACAGTTAAAAGCAAGGTTGCCAGGCATTGTGTGATGCATGACTTTAGTCCCAGCACTCAGGAGGCAGAGGCAGGTGGATCTCTGAGTTTAAGGCTAGCCTGGTTTACAGAGGGAGTTCTAGGACATCCAGGGCTACATGGAGAAACTCTGTCTGGGAAAAAAAAAAAAAAAAAAAAAAAAAAAAAAAAAGAGCAAGGCCAGCCCTAGAGGAACAGGTACTCAGTGTACAGGTCAGGTGGTATCCGCTACAATTACTCACCAAAGCTACAATGGTGGGAAGGCAGTCTCAGATAAGTGAATAAATAACATTTCTCTGTTGCTATGACTGAAAATAATATCCCTCAGATCCATATTCTTAAGTCCTAGAACTCAGTGACCATCAGGAAGCTGGGCCTTTGGGAGCTAAACAGACTTAAGGCCACAGGGGCAGGGCCCTTACAGTGAGTGGCCTTGGTGCTTCATAAGAAAAGTCCAGAGGGCTATAGGGCACAGTGAGAATATGGCAGTCTACAAGTTGAGCCAGGGCCTTGAACTTGGACTGTCCACCCTCCAGAGCTATGAAAGAGGGTGGGCTTAGTGTCCTATAGGACTCAGTTATCAGTCTAAGCTGAGACAACTGGGTTCCAACAAAACTCCACAAAAGCAGACAAGAGACCAGGTTAGCTTTCTGATAAGATCATAAGTGTGAGGTTGGGAAGTCCTACATAGCCAACAAGCCTGTTACTTACAGGACAGGTGACCTAGCCTCAGACTCCTTGACTTTAAACAGCTCAGAGGGTTCTTACGAACCTTAAACAAGGTGATGGAGATGAGGCACCTAGGGTGGAGTGGGGGGGGAGTTGTGACAGCCCAGTGAAGGGTATGAACTACCATTCTCAGGGTATCAATGTGTTAGCCATCAACAAGACCAGCTCCCAAAATAAACCTCGTTATCGGGAGGAAACAACTAAAATTAAACTTATGTCAAATTTTCTCAGAAAACATTCACATCATCAAATATTTTAGGATAGAGTAGGACTGACTGAGCCTGCCATTTAAGAATTTTTGGCTCATTAGATGCTTCACATAGCACAATCTGTACAGAAGTATCTGAAATTAAAGAAGTGGTTTTACATTTGGAAGAACTACTTTTGTGGGGAAAAAAACTCATCAAAGTGTATGCATATTAAAGAGATTAATCGAGTAAATATTAGACTGAGGATGTCAAAAATGTAGTATGCCCTGCCACTTTGCAGTTCTTTGCGTTAGCAGATAGAACCAATCAATGATAACATTCTTTCTCAAGAAATATGGGTCTTTGTAAGGCCCCATGATCCTTTCAACACACTCTCTAAGCAAGCCTAACAGAATCTGTTCCCAGCTCCCTGACTTCTCCACTGATTGGACTGCCCGCTAAGGTAACAGATGGTCAGAAACTAGAGAAAAACAAAAATCACAAAGTATGGCTAAGGACCCTGAGCTGTCCTGTCTCTTATGACATTGTCAGACAGGCTCCTACTTCTGCATCCTGTGTCTCCAAGGTTAGGAGTATCTGAGGACATCACTGAAGCTTTAGCTGCGGTCAATCCTCATCATGTCCAGATGGCGGGTTTCAGATAAACTCACTCACTCACTCCTCACTCATTCATTCGTTCACTCAGTCACTCCTCACTCACTCATTCACTTACTTCTCCCTCAGTCACTCACTCCTCACTCATTCCTCATTCATTCATTCATTCACTCACTCCTCCACTCATTCATTCACTCCTTACTCATTCACTCCTCACTCACTCGCTCAATGGATTTGAAAGCTTTTCTGTGATGTTTTTACTGAATGGCTTTCACAGTTTTGTCTTTTACACTCTTTAAAATGCCCCCTAGTGTGTAAGAAAGCACTTCCTAGAGTTAAGGAGCAAGAAGACTGGGGCTGCCTTACAACTGTAGGTGTTACATAAACTTGGTTAAGAGTGATATTAATGCTGCTGTGCGAATTTAATGGTAATGAGCCAATGATACATATTAAGAGGTGTCTTTAAATAGAAACACACAGAAAATGAAGTTATATACTCATCAGTTGGCCCAAACTGGAAACCTGGGGAACCCAGGCCTGCGTTTCTTACTTAGGGCTGGCTAGTTCATGTTCATAGATACTGTAGATCAGAACTACCACAAATAATCAGGTGTGGCCATACCTGTTTCTGCACCTGAGAGTACACATTAACGCCATCAACAACGAGGCTGGGAGCACGTCACATGCCCATGTATATCAAACACAATCAACCTACAAATAATATACTTCTGGGGAAATGTGTATTGTAGCTAAGGCGCACAGACCCCACCCCTTCCCACCAACATGAGATCTTCACAAAGGAAGATTCCAAGTGTTCTTGTGCCACCGCCTCCAAGGGTACCCTCAGTGCCAGAGCGGCATGGCTGTGGGGAAGGGAGAGCCTGTGGCTCTGAAGGGCTCCTCACACCAAGTTTACACGTGGTACCTGCAAGCAATCCAGAGATGTGCTGACCACCCGGGGGGACTTGGACTGGCAGGCCAGCTCGAATGGAAGGAAATACTTGTCGGCTTCAATGAAGTTTGCCTTTGGGGGAGCTGCAGCGCCAAGCCTGGAAGAGCATGAGAGAATGGAGAGGAAAATGAAAAAAAAAAAAAAAAAAAAAAAAAAAAAAAAAAAAAAGGGAAAAGCTCACTTCTCTTCACCTTACTCTATTTTCCCACTCTGCTTAGTTAAAAGTGCTGCAAGCTCTATCTTGGGGAGATGCAGCTACAAGCTGACTACATGAAACTTGCAGAAAGCAAGGGCTCTGACTTACAAATGGGCTCACTGGCATAGTGGGGTGACTGTGCGGCTGTGCCAGACCCATGTTTCTAAACTATGACTGGCTGGCTCCCACCATCAGGATAAGGAACAGGCACCAGAGCAAGCTGTCCCTTGACACTAAGGACAAGGCTACTGTCTCCATCTCATGAAAAGGTTAAAAGCATCAACTTGACCTTCTTTCACCTCCCTCCAAGTACACAAGCACTGGGCCAGTCACCTGCCCAAACCGGGAGTTCCACCGTGTGAGCAAACGTTCGTGGAAAGGGTTCCCCAGCCATCACCCACTGTGCCCCCAACAGGAGGAAGCACTGCTGCTTACCTCTGCTTCTCTATTTCTGCTTTAATTTCATCTGGTGGAAGAAGAAAAAGCACATTAGGAGCATGCAACACTTAGGGGAAAGAGTGTTTATGAGACTGGAGCATTCAAGCATGCTACAGGGTGAAGCAAGGACTCATCATAGCAGCAGCTGCTGGCCCACAGGAGTTACTGTGCTAGGCATGGACCCTGTGGTTGGGCGACTGTTCTCTCTCGTTTAGAGGAGGTGCACATCCTAGGCACCCCTGACACTCTGGAGCCACCCTAGGCATGCCTCTACCCACTAGGGGACAGCAGCATTTCCCATCTCCTGCAATGCTGAGTTGTGGTTTGCAATAAGATATCTCTATGCATCCAAGGTTAACTGGGAACTCGGGATCCTCTTGCCTCAGCCTGTTAAGTGCTACTGGCAGGTACTAGCATGCTCCCCCACAGCCCTGTATACCAAGCCATCCCTGAGCAAACTCCCTCCAGTGAGAATTAACAATTTCAATGAGGAAATGCAGACATCCGTGAGAATGGAGAATTTCCTCACATTGAGAACTGGGGAGACTAGCTGGGCAGTGATGGTGCACAACTTTAATAATAGCACTTGGGAGGCAGAGGTAAGCAGGTCTCTGTGAGTTCAAGGCCAGCCTGGATTACGGAATGAATTCTGGGACATCCAATGCTGCACAAAGAAACCCTGTCTCAAAAAATCCAGAAACAAAACAAAAACAAAACTAGGGTAGTCAGAATCTGAACCCAGGCCTTGGCTCTGTGGTCTACGATCTCTGTGTAATAGGTGTATGATAAAACAGTTAACACAAACCATTTGACTATGCAAAAAACCATACACAGGAGACTGCAAACAGGAGAAGACTGAAACAGTAAGGCAAATATTAGAAGTTACCTAATAGTGGTGATGCTTTGTTCTTTTTAAATTACATTTATTTATTTAGTTAGTTGGGGGAAGGGCAACAGTGTGTATGTGAAGATCAGAGAACAACTATTAGTTAGTTGTCTGTTCACTACTTCTACCAAGTGGGTCCCAGGGATTGAACTTGGCAGCAAGCATCTTCACCTGATGAGTCTTCACGCTGGCCCCTGTTATATTTTTTTTCATATTGTGTCTTTTATGTATGTGAGTGTTTTGCCTGCATGTATGTCTGGGCACATGCATGCTTGATGCCCAAAGAGGCCAGAAGCGGGCAACAAATCCCCCGCAACTGGGGGACACTTGTGAGCCACCCCACGTGGTGCTGGGAATCAAACCCAGGTCCTCTTAGACAAGCAGCCAGAGCTCTAAGCTGCTGAGCCCTCTTTGCCCCCATCACACTGTCTATGATTTAAACACTTTTGAGATTGGTATCATGAAAACAAGACAACACCCTAGCTAAATTCTCCTGACTTCACCCACCAATCTACTGCATGTACTCCTATATGTTAGGCTCCCAGGCTAAAGCAGGGGAGGGGTGGGGAGGAAGGACACCAAAGCCTTTTTACATACTCTCTTGAGATCCATGAGGATACTAGCCATCCTAACAGCACCAAGACACAGTTCAGCAAGTTTTAAGATCCATTTGCTTGGAAAACCAAGAAACTGTACTGGCTAGAGGTGGTGATGCTTGACCTTCTGGCTGGCCTGCACACCCTTACTGAGTCCCTAGGAAAACATCAAAGGACTGCCCAGATGACTAATACCAAGCCACAAGGCCTGGTGACGCTTGAGTTTATGAAAGGAACTGTGCCACATAGACCCTGTCCTCAGAGGACATGTGTAAGGACTCAGCAGGCATTATGCTGGCCTGCCCCTGTCACCTGGCAGAATGCACTCAGGCAGTACCCTGGTCAGCCCAGGTGCAAAGGACCCCTTTAAAAGAAAGGCCTCTGCCCACTGTGCTCTTTCCTGCTGTTCCCCAGGGGCAGACAGGACTTTTCCTGTCCCTCTTCTCCCCTGTTGTCTGTTTCTGTGCCTCTTCACCACTTTTCTCTTTCCTCCCCCTTTCTAATAAAACTTCTCACTTAAGCTCTGTCTGCCTGGCATGTTTGTCCCCTGCCTGCAGTGGAATCTGCCAAGGTTCCCTCCCCTTGCATATTATCATAACAACATGAATCTCCTGAGAGTGGGGCCCTGAGACTGGCCTATAAGATCTAGCTTCCAACAGCTTAAATAGCACAGTGGATTTTCTTAGGTGTCAAGTTTGTGTGACATACCAGCATACTCTGCTGCCAATTCAAATGTAAGGTTTCCTTCTGACCATGAGCAGCACTCTTAGGGAAGCTAAGCCTATGCTTTATGCAGGTGGTCCCAGGTCTCCAACCATCTGTTTTTGAATGCCACTGATGGCCAAGCTAGTGATCCACAAATATCACCAGTGCAGCCATCCACTGTCCATGCAAGGCACCAAAAGCAACAAGACTTGAAAGTCTATGTAGGCCAGACAGGAAATATCAAGAGAGACATGGGGATATAAAATTTTAGGACAGGAGAGCAGCAGCCCCTCAGTCCCCAGTCAGTGGCTGGCACTGGTACCTCTAGAGACCCTGACAGGGGTGACAGTTGCTCTGCTTATCCCAGTGGTCAAAATTCAGATTTTACAGTAAAGTTCAGATTGCAACTCAAAGCAGCTTCCACTATTCTATAAATACCATGCCCAGATAAGACTGATCAATTGGCTGCCCAGGCCATGAGGTTACTGGTTTACAATTTCTCTTTTGAGGAATGGGGAAAAGCTCAAAAACAGTACTTTACTGGCTGCAGAAAAACACCCATAGGTGAGAAAGGTGGCTTCAATGAACAGTCAGCCATGGGCAGGGGAAAGAAGCCCTCCCCTCCCCTCCCCCCTGCCCATCAATGCTGAAGTAGGTGGGAGAGCTGTCCCTGCTCCTCATCAGCTACAGTGCTTGGGAGAGTGACCCCCATACACACCTGGGCAACACAGTAGAGCTGGCCCTGAGGACTTGAGCACAGAACTGGCCCCACTGTGAACTTAGCCAGGGCAATGCAGGAGAGCGCCCCCTGGTGGTGAGGACAGGGGAGAGCTAGACGGCTGACCAACCCAGGCCCAGAACCAGGGTTATGAGTTGGCCCACCCCAATATCCACCCCATCTGGTGGGACTCACCCCTGCACTTCACTACTCCACACGCTAATAGCACTGCACTCCCAGCTGCCAAAGTGGCAGCCAGCAGCAATAAATGAGCAGGAGAGATGGTTCTGCTTCTGGCTTTTCCCCTGCCTCTCTCCCACCCCATAGCTCTCCTGCACACAGCAGCCAGAGGGACTGTCCTAGAGTGTGTGACAGTTAACACTGTCAGCAGGATCTAGAATGCTTACAAGAGACTACCTAGATTAGACTAGCTGAGGCAGGAGGACCCACTTAACTGTGGACAGCGCCGTTCTATGGACTGGAGTCCTGGTAGAGAAGAGACAGAGAGAAAGAGAATGCTGAGCACCAGCAGACACTGCTCTCTGCTTTCTGACTGTGGACATGTGATCAGGGCCTCAAGCCCCTGCAACAATCAATGCATTGAACATCAAACTGTGAACCAAAACAAACTTGTCCTTGCAGAAGCTGCTTGCTGCAGCAAGGGGGTAAGCACTGTGGAAAGTGGCCACACAGAATGGAGCCAATGGCCCTCATTTGCCCAACTCTTTACCACAACATGAAGCAAGCTCGGAATCCTGATGGCTGCCAAGCCTCTATGAACTGACTCTGGTCTCCCCATCCACAACTCTGGTTGCTACCCTCCATCCCCAACCATATCCCATGCTCTCCTTTCAGTCCCAGGTTCATATGCCACCACTCTAAAGAGGCCTTTCAGCATCTTTATCAACTGCCATCTGGTAGCACCCTGCTCTGCATCTCCCTAACAACTTTCACATTTCACTCCAGTTTCCTCTTCTCATCCTTCTTCAGATCACCTTTGACACTCTGTGTAAGCTCCTTTACACCTGCTTCCCCCAAGAGCAGAAATCCTCGGACAAGCCTGTGCACAATGCCCATAAGAATGTACAGCCGACACCTGTGTATGTAAATCATCCCTTTCCTTTCCTGCATTATTTAACCTCTCACACAGAGGATCCATTTTCAATGCCATTTAGAAAATCCCAAGTGTCTTCTACCTTAAAGAAAGAAAACTAAAGCTGTGCATGGCGACACATCTATAAATGCCCGAATTCAGGAGGCCGAGGAAGAACTGTCACAAGTACCAGGCCAATCACCATGACACAGACATAGCAAGACTGCTTCAAACCCAAAGAAAAGAAAAACCTTCCACCAGCCACACACCCTCCTGACAGCAACCCAAGCAGTCTGCACTCATTCTTTGTTTCCTCACTTCTGACCACGCCAGTCTGGATTGCACCTGCAGCACTCCACCCAAACAGCTCAAGAGGCCATGGGTGACCACATGTCTCTAACCCAATAGGCACGCTTCCAGTGTCCATCTGACTGGAAGCACCTGACTTACCAACCCCATGCTCCCAGAATTGTTCTCGGCATCTACCCTGTGCATCTCACCTGCCTCTGCTCTAGCACCCTGTGCACACATCACCTCCTCTGCCCAGGCAGGAAGAGATGCAGGTCCTCACACCAGGCCCCACTCACATCCAGTCTCTGGACCAGGCCTCTAAGGAACCTCAGGCTTATCTATGCAATTGCTTCCTATTTCATGTGTCTAACAGGATGATTCTAGACATGGATTTGCATATATAATGCCCTCCAAAGGGCCAAGCTTTATGTATTTATGTATGTATGCATTTATTTATTGGTTTGCCAGACAGGGTTTCTCTGTGTAATTTTGGAGTCTGTCCTGAAACTCTCTCTGTAGACCAGGCTGGCTTCAAACCCACAGAGATCCACCTGCTTCTGCCTCCCAAGTACTGGGTTGAAAGGCATGAGTCACCATCGCCTGGCAGGGGCCAAGTTTTAAAGATACGGTCCCGAGATGGTGATGCCAATCATTGAGAGGTGATTAGCTCATGAAGGTGCTAACTGTATCAACAGGTTAATCCACAGGTGAGTTCATGCAGAGTGAACTAGCACAGGTG